GCCACATCCCCAGCAAGCAGCGTGCCATGTCACAAGTTCATCTTGCATATGACAAAAATGATTTGATAAATAAGACTGATCTTGAGATGCTCAAGCAACAAATTGCTGACCTCAGCCTTCAGGTGAAGAGCATTGGTCAGAGAGTCAAAAGTCAAAACAACTTAAGCAACGAAAGTGTTCCTCTAAGTGTCACACATGAAGTCCATGTGGTGAAACCAAAAACAAGCCGTCAGCATCCTTCCACAATTAAAGCAAATGGCAGACCACGTCCCTGGTACTGTTTCCAGTGTGGAGAGGATGGCCATGTTGTTTCAGTCTGTGAAAATGCACCAAATCCTTCCCTTGTAGCAGCTAAGAAAAAAACAGCTGAAAGAAAAGCAGGCTGCTTGGGAAGCCTCTAATGCTTCTCAAAGTGAGACACATTTAAACTAGTGTCTGCTCCCATAGAGGGACACATGGGAGCAGAGTTACAAAATTCCAGTCCCAAAACCATGAAAGCTGTTGTTAAGAGTGTTGGGGTAGAAAGGTCGAAATTGCCACATGGCCTGGTGGGAACTAAAACTACAGCTCAAGTGTCTATTGCAGGGAAAGACACAAACTGTCTGTTGGACACAGGTTCGCAAGTCACAACTGTGCCCCAGTCCTTTTATGAAGAACACCTTTCTGATCTGACCATTCATTCTTTAAATGATTTGCTTGAAGTGGAGAGTGCTAATGGCCAGTTTGTTCCCTATTTAGGATATGTTGAGCTTACCATCACTTTTCCTAAAGAGTTTGTTGGCTCTGATATTGAGATTAACACTCTGGCTTTGGTTATTCCTCACCTCCGCTCTGCAGCCCATGAACAGGTGCTTATAGGCACAAACGCACTTGACGTTCTTTATGCGGATTACCAGAAACTTTCATCTTTTCAGCCTTTGATGAATGGCTATCAGGCTGTTCTCAAAATACTTGAGATACGACAAAGAGAGCTTATCCACAGCAGCCTTGGTTGTGCAGAACTAACAGGCAAGCTGCCTAAAGTTGTTCCTGCAAGGCAGACCGCTGTTGTTGAAGCTTTTGTTCCATTTAATCGTTTGAACATTCAGAGAGATGTTATTCTTGAGCAACCATCAGCTTCTTCTCTACCGAATGGTTTACTCGTTTCAGCGATTGCAGTAACTTTACCAAGCAAACACTCATGTCATATTCCTGTCGTACTGAGAAATGACACCAGTCATGACATAGTCATTCCCCCCAAAACCATTGTGGCAGATGTTAATGCTATAGTACAGGTGTTGCACAAAGAACATACTGTCAAAATCAGACTATCCTAAATTTCAAGCAAAGTCTTCCCCACCACTGAACTTTGATTTTGGAGATTCACCTTTATCCACTGAATGGAAAGAGCGAATAACAAAAATGTTAAACACCATGCCAAACGTTTTCTCTCAGAATGACCTGGATTTTGGCCATACTGATAAAGTGAAACACAGAATCAAGCTCAGTGATGAGACGCCTTTTAAGCAGAGAGCACGTCCGATACACCCCAACGATGTAGATGCTGTGAGACAACATATACAGGAACTCCTAGATTCTGGAGTCATACAGGAATCTGAGTCTCCATTTGCTTCTCCAATTGTTGTGGTTCGCAAAAAGAATGGTTCTGTTCGTCTGTGTGTAGATTACAGAAAGCTGAATATGCAGACCATCAAAGATGCCTACGCTCTTCCAAAACTGGAAGATGCTTTCACTGCACTTGCTGGTTCTAAGCGGTTCTCCGTTCTAGACCTCAAGTCAGGCTACTATCAGGTCGAAATGCAAGAAGCAGACAAGCATAAGACTGCATTTGTGTGTCCAGTTGGATTCTGGGAATTCAACAGGATGCCACAAGGAATAACAAATGCGCCTTCAACCTTCCAAAGACTGATGGAAAAATGTGTTGGCGATATGAACCTAAAAGAAGTTTTAGTGTTCATTGATGACTTGATTATTTTCTCAGCCTCCCTGGAAGAACATGAAGAGCGCTTGCAGCGTGTTCTTGAACAATTGATGACATATGGTTTGAAACTGGCACCAGAGAAGTGCAAATTTTTTCAAACGTCAGTAAAATACCTTGGTCACATTGTTTCTGAGAGAGGAGTTGAAACAGACCCTGAAAAAGTTTCGGCCTTACAGACTTGGCCGATCCCCACAAATCTTAAACAGCTTCAATCTTTCTTAGGATTTGCTGGATACTACCGACGGTTCATTCAGGGGTACTCTACTATTGTAAAGCCACTTAATGAATTAACGTCTGGTTATCCACCACTCAGAAAGCTAAATAAGAGACAGAAAATAAATTCGAGCTCAGAGTATCGCAACCCAAAGGAGTCCTTTGGTGAGCGGTGGACACCTCAATGTCAGAAAGCTTTCGATGACATAATAAGTAAGCTAACATCAGCTCCAGTCTTGGGTTTTGCAGACCCCCAGCTTCCATATGTCTTACATACAGATGCCAGCACTGTTGGCCTTGGGGCTGCATTATATCAGGTTCAAGATGGTCAATCTCGAGTCATAGCTTTTGCGAGTCGAGGACTTTCAAAGAGCGAGAGGAAGTACCCGGCTCATAAGCTTGAATTTTTGGCTCTTAAATGGGCAGTCAGAAAAATTCTCTGATTACCTATATGGTACAGACTTCACAGTAGTGACGGACAGCAACCCACTTACATATATTTTAACATCTGCAAAGCTGGATGCGACAGGGTACATACAGGTGGTTGTCCAGTCTTTCTACTTACTCATTCAGTCTTCAGTACAGGGCGGGAAAGCAAAATCTTGATGCTGATGCACTGTCTCGCCGACCTCATGATCCATCAAAGGATGATTATGCATCCAAGAAGGAAAGTGAGAGAATCCGGCAGTTCACATTGTACCATCTGAGCAATCCTGACAGTCCAGAGACTGTTCCCCAGGAGGTGATTAAGGCTATTTGTGAACGTCATATGGTCACTTCATCTGTAGCTGGTGTTCAAGCCGCCACTCCTGGGTTGACATTAGTTGAATCCCTCACTCACCAGTCCACAGCTATTCCTGACTGCTTCCAACAGGAGCAAGTGGATGGGTCTCCTCTTGTTTGTTCATTTTCAGAAGAAGAGTTGAGGGAAAAACAAACATTAGATCCTGCTATCAATGCAGTCATTGTACTCTTGGAAACTGGTGAAACTCCATGTCCCGGCCTCAGGTTAGAGCTACCAGAATTACCTTTGTTACTCAGACAGTTGTCTCGGTTGGAGATGCAGAATGGAGTGCTCTATCGTAAGCGACAAGATGGTCTAAACATCTCATATCAGCTTGTACTTCCTGAGGAGCTAAGAGCTACAGCACTCATGAGTCTTCATCATGATATGGGCCACCTTGGAGTTGAACGAACAGTAGATTTGGCAAGAACTAGATTTTACTGGCCAAAAATGTATATGACCATAGAGAAAATGGTTAAAACATGTGAGAGATGTGTTCGTAGAAAAACACATCCAGAAAAAGCTGCTCCACTGATGAACATTAAAACCTACCGACCTCTCGAACTGGTGTGGATTGACTTTTTGTCAATAGAGCCAGATCGCTCAAACACCAAAGACATTTTGGTAATAACTGATCATTTTACAAAATATGCAGTGGCCATACCAACCCCAAACCAGCGAGCACAGACCGTAGCAAAGTGCCTCTGGGAAAACTTCATTATTCATTATGGTTTTCCTGAAAAGCTCCTTAGTGATCAGGGTGCTGATTTTGAATCTAAAACCATAAAAGAACTCTGTGAACTTATTGGCATGAAGAAAGTGCGTACAACCCCTTACCATCCCAGGGGAAATCCGGTTGAAAGATTCAACCGCACACTTCTTCAAATGCTTGGAACACTTGATAAGTCATAAACTGCTGAAACCTCTGGTACATGCTTATAATTGTACAAAGAGTGATGTGACTGGATTTTCCCCATACGAGTTAATGTTCGGGAGACAGCCCAGATTAGCCATTGACTTGATTTTCAGATTGCCCACCAATGCTACGAAGCAGACACATTCCCAGTATGTTGGCAATTTAAAATCTCGATTGGAAGAAAGTTACCGTATTGCTACTAGCAATGCAGAAAAGAATGCAAGTCACAATAAAGCCAGATTTGACCGGCGAGTGATTGAATCAACTTTGCAGACAGGAGACAGAGTTCTTGTGCGAAATGTGAAGCTGCGTGGAAAACATAAATTGGCAGACAAGTGGGAGGAGGATGTTTATGTTGTCCTCAAGAGAGCTGGAGAAATGCCAGTTTATACAGTTAAATCGGAAAGTAAAGATGGACCAGTGCGGACTCTGCACAGAGACCTGCTTCTGCCATGTGGATTCCTGTCAGCAGCTGCAGAGCCTGAAACAGTCAAACCTTGTCCAAACAGGAGACCCAGAACGAGACAATGTCCAGTCGTCGAGAGTGAAGAGGAAATCATCTCAGATCTGGATGATGTACCTGATTGGACATCGTTCCCTCGTTTTGTGTCAAAACCCGATGTATATGTCATAGTGCCTGAAACTCACAAGTCAAGTGAGCATCCCAGTGCAGTTCGACCATCAGCAGAAACAGGGAGATCTGTAGTTTCCCTCTCACCTGATGTTCCAGCTACTCATATTGTAGGAGATAGAAGTACTGGAGATATTCAAGATGCATCAAGTGTTCACCTACCTGAAAATGACAACCTACCGGAACATAGCAGATTATCCGAAGCAAACGTTTTACCTGAACTAAATTCAGTTAAAGGATCCCCTCAGTGTTTGGATTTGCAGCAATCTGAGGAAACTCCTCCATAAAATGGGATGAGCTCAGATGCAGCATATGATGATGAGTTTTATGGAGTAAATGAACCTGTTACTGCCCAACCTGAACCCTTAAAGTTTCAGACTGGGACTTCAAAACTCTGAAACATTTCTTCGTCGCTCTGAAAGAGTACACACAAAGTCAAACAGATTAGAGTATCCAAAACTGGGAAATTCTCTGATGATGGTGGTGAATTCTCTTTTCCAGGGTCTAAGTGAAGCATTGGCTAGCTCCCTGAATGGCTTGGAGAATGCATCCCATAATTCCATCAGGCATGCTTAAGCTGTGCGACTCAGTGTCGTATTGCAGATGCCCAGGGACGGGCATACCCTTCAGAGGGGAGGGTGTAACCCACATAAAGTGGGGATAGCCTTTTGGGAAATAGAGATTGGGTAGGCGGGGTAGTCTGCCTGGCCAATGGGAAGTTTGATTCCCATGAATGTTTAGACCAATCAGAGAGCGGAATGCCACAGAGGCTCCACCTTCTTTCCCGTGCTGGCAGCGTTGATTGTGAGCGGGAGATCCGACCCTGATCAGACAGCTGAGCCAGAGTGAGAGTCTTTTGGTTTCTTTCTAATATCATTTATTGACTTTGAAGGATTTTTTTTGGTAAATAGTTATTGTTTAAATCCAACTTATAAGTTAGAAAGAGTGATAAGTTTCAGAAAACTGAACTTCAGTTTTTCTGCTGTTAGAACCACTAAGATCAGTTGGAACTGTTGCACTTTCTGGCAGTTGATTGGCAGTTGTTTTCAGTTCAACTGAAGGTAAAGCCTATATAATAATGTATTTTTATTTTACTTAATTCATTTTCTTTAAGTTAAAACTTAAAAAATATGCATTTTACACTGTCTAGTGCCCTCCGTGTCTGGAATGAGAGTCCCTGTCTAGTTGTTTTGAACGTGCTGCACTGAGATCGGTGAGCATATTGTACCTTTCATTTGGTTTTTGTTCTTTTATCTTGTTGTCAAATAATGATCTTTATTTGACCTACTTAGTTATTTGAACCTTTGCTAAGTTTGTGTAAAATGTAATGTTTTATTATTGTTCTTGGAAAAGGATTTTTCGAACAGTTATGAAACATAATAAGCTAGAATGGTTTAATAATAATTCTATGTTTCTGCTGGTCTTGTCTGTTGACAGATCAGGTTTTTTTTGTTGTGTTGTTTTTGTTTTTTGCTTTTTCTTCTCTTCTCCTGGATTGTTCCTGGAGTGGATTCCTCTACTGACTTTGATGGCGAGCCTTCCCACCTGGACTTAGAAAGATCTGGATTTCCTCCCATGTTGAGTGAGACCTGAACCAGGATTTAATTTGATTCATTTGTCATCTAAAAGAGATTAGAGTGCAAACTACCAGGGTGCACCCAATAGATTTAAATTTGATATTTAGCACTTGGCCAAGTATTGTTGTTTTTATTTTATGTATTTTATTGTGTGTAATTTTTTTTCTTAATTGTATGTCTTGTCCACTTGTGAGTTTATGATTCACGTTACTAAAGCTAATTGTTTTTTTAAAATTCACTCAACTGTGTATGTGTGTCATTTAAACACCCATCGTGCTCCGACAGCCGAACCTATTGGCCCATCTACCTAAAATATATTGTACCCTTCTCAACTGTGTTACATTTTCACCCTGAAAACATCTGATCTGATCCACTTTCCAACAGAACTAGATAATTTCCTGTCATGTTGCGTTTTATTCGACTTTTACGTCATGATTCTGCACCAGCAGGAGCCAGACAGTAAATCTGACGTAAAAATGGCAGGAAATGATAATAATGATTTGATAATAATGAATTGATGGAAGCAGTGAGTCAGTGAACGCATCTCAACCCCCCCACATCCAGCAGGTTTTCCTCCTCAAGTCAACGCTCTTCTGCGCATGCGCGCCTCAAACCGCTCACACTGGAGTCTGACTGCGGTTGTATTTAATTAGTGACCATCACACAGAGGGAGGGTTTATTTAGATCCTCCATTAAATCCCTTCATTCTTCTAATTCATTGTTTGGGTCTCTCTTCAATAATATGTGAAACGTTTCAATACCTGGTCATCGGACTGCAGGATTAGGTTTTAAAGCTGAGTCTTGAATGTTTGTCACGTTTTCTGCTCACTAATTAAAGTTTTTATTATTTTTGCGAAGGTCGGGCGGGATGTGAGACTAACGAGCGTTAATCGGGCTGATAACAGGAAGTGGATCTGATGCTCTGAGTGTTTCTGGCTGCTGGAACATTTTGTTTTAACGCTGCTAATTACTGAAACCCAATGCTGTGTAAAGCTCGTCCTGGCAGCAGCTCGCTGGTTCTGTATGTCACTGGACCGGTTCAGAGGCGGACCGGGCCGGGACGGAAAACAAAACCCAACAAGTAAAAACTGAAGACGGCAAACAACTGGGTGAGCTTCAGCCGCTTCACAAAGCGTCTGCAGACGTCCCAGGCGATGAGTTATTGTCGTCATGTTGGGTTGGAGCAGCGGCCCGGTCCGAGGTCCGGTTCATCAGTCACGGTCCTCTGCTGCTCCGAGCCGCAGAACAAACCCCCTGTTTCTATAGAGCTGTAATCAGACTCTAACCTCGGCCTCTTCCTCCGGAGTTCATCTATAAAACATGAGAACAGCCGCCGAGCAGCAGGTGGGTCACTGATGGAGATGAAATATTTACTGAACACCCAGCGCCTGTTTCACACCTCATCTCTGATTTTTCATCCTGCAGGTGTGACTTTACACCTTTACATCTTCACTACGTTACGACACAATAACAAACAATCTGAACGTGAGGGAATTCCTGGATCAATAGGTGAGGGAGGGGCAATGCTGTTACCTTATGTCCAGTCACTCCCAGACTTTCTGTTGGCTCAGCGGGAGTTTAAACCTCAGGAACGATGAATGTAACGGAGAAGTGCAACCATTGCTCTGAGAGGCCTTCTGTCTGACTTCATGTCCAGGCAAAGCTGCAGCAGCTGCATGCAGACAAAGCTGTAGCTGCAGCAGCAGCTGCTGCAGCTTTGTCTGCATGCAGCTGAAGATGCTCCTGCTGGGTTTTTCCTTTCGCAGGCGGCCGTCTCCCCCTGAGGCCCGGAGCGCTGCATTACGGTGTGTCACTGTGTCACTGTGGCTCCCCGGACGCCGTCGGCGCTGATTTAATTTCTGAGGCCCCTTCCTCCCCTGGAGGCCTGCGCTCCTCCCACGGCGACAGAAATGAAAAGCCTCTAAGCTGCAGCAGCTGTGGCGGCATCCGTGATGTTTTGGAAAAGATCAGCGGCGGTTGGCCATAAAGGGCATCAGCATGGAGACCGCCGGTGCGCTCATTAGGGGAAATGCCAGTGATGTGAATGTTTTTAACAAGGCCTCATTAAAGGCGCTAAGCCAGGAAGAGGCTTGTCAACAGCTGCATGGAAAATAATTAGCAAGGGTTAATAATAGTAATTATTATGCTGCTGCTTTCAATTCAAACAGGCGTGAAGCTGCACACTGAATATAACGGCTCGTATTTGTTTGGTGACGTCATTTTCAAAGTTAAAACAACTTTTTTTTATTTTGTTGAATATAGAGTCTGTATTCAAGTCATGAATAACTCAGTTTCTATGACAATTATTTCTAAATAATTACATATTTCAAGACCGAAGTGTCAGAAAATTAAGGAATAAAGGATAAAAAAACACTAAATAGAGTTTAAAATATACACACATTTTTAAGAGTAGAGCCTTAAAGTGTTTTAATTCCATTAAAAAATCCAAATTGGCCTTAAATACTTTGATGAATGGTTTTAAGTTTAGTTGTGACTTTAGTCATGTATTTATTTAGTTTATTTTTTTGCTGGACTTCTGTCAGGCTAACATTTGAGTCGCTCTCAGACGTCTTGGTTCGGTTCTGTTCGGTTGAGGCTTCCCCTCGTTAGCTGCTAATTTCCCCCTGCTAGCTGCTTTTTGTGCCCATCATGGATTAGTGTACATTTATCAACCCGGATCTCTAATACTTTATAAAATATGCAGTTTCCTTTTGTAAATTTCTGTCGTTATAAAAGTCTTACATTCATTCATAATGATCATAGAATGGTGAAAGCTGCAGAAATCCTGCATATTCTCTATTCAGCTTGTTAAATATGAATTAAACCAAATGAATATTAAGTGCAATTAAATATGTAATTGATATAATTTTAATAATTGATTAGTAAAAATAAATAATGGCATTTTTTGACTTTGCTAGTCAAAAGTCTGAATAAAGTTGAACCAATCAGATGTTCAGCGTGACAGGCTGACCAATCAGAATCCAAAATAATGTCATTATTTTGGATTCTGATTGGCTGACCAATCAGAATCCACGGAGAAGAGGCGCTGATTGGTTCAACCAATCACCTCTGAACTGAACTATTCAGATTTCAATAGGAAATGATGTCATACGTAGCAGGATGGGTTTAATTAGTTGCACTGATGTGAACTGAAGGTTTCTAGTTTGTTTGTTTTGTGCAGTGAAAACCAGACGTTCTGTTATTAATCTGGTGTTTTCATATTTATGGCTGTGCTGCTGATCGGGTCTCAGTCGCTGGTTCTGTCGCTGGTTCTGCATGTTTGTGTCCAGCAGGTACGTTTGTGTGCAGAGCTGCAGGAAAAGCCGGCAATAAAATTTCAACCCGCGCTCTGTGAAGCATCATCATGCTGTTGAGAGCAGCAGATATGAGAAAATCCCTCTTCATGCTCCATTTTTCCCACTCCAAATGTGCTCTTAGTGCTGCAGTTTGACTGCAGAGGAAAACACGCAGCGCTGGAGAGCTCCTCGCTCTCTGATGGAGGACACAACTGTCTGTTTGAGGTTTTTATCTGCTGTGACACCATTCTGCCTCCAGTCCAAAAGCACTTTCTCCTTCCTGGAAAAAAACTGAAAATAAAATCAGAGAGCGCCAGCAGGGAGCAACGAAACCCTGTTTGATCAACATCACTTTGATCTGATTCATGCTAATCAGCCTCATGTGGGAAACACCCAGCCTGGAATCTCACCGTTAACACATTGATTTTGATGGAATGAATAAAATCCTCCTCTCATATTCAAGGTGATTTAAACTTGTTCATGATGCTGTAGCTTGTTTCATCTAACAGCTTGTTCCCACTTTGCTTTCTGCTTGTGAGTCCAAACACACAAGGACAAAAGATGTTGAAAAGTGAAAAAATAAAGATTCGGTGTAAATAGTTAAAATGACATGAATTTGGGCCCAACTGAACTGAACTGAACTAAAATAGAACTGCAAAAAGCTTAAAGAGACGTGCAGTACCCTAAACTCACCACATGAGGGAGAAACAACACAGCAAAGAAACAAAAACTACAAAATGTTGCAAAGGCAACATGTAAAACTACAAATGTAAACTATGAAACAATAATTCAATGTGCTGGTGGTTGGAGCATCACCACAGATTTCACCCAATTCACAGTTCGCTTTGCATGGATTGATTAAAGTTATTTTTACTTTTCTGGCATTAAATTACTATTTTAGCTCATTGGAGCAGAGAGAAGGAACAGACCTGTGTCTGTGGGTCCAGTTTGAACCTTGCAGCACCATCAGAACCTTGTGAGCTCAGTGATTGGTCCAAATGTTTCCTCCTGGGTTTCTGTGCTTCATGTAGAAAAATAAAAACAATCTTTATATAGAAACAGAAACAAACGGCGGGCGGAGGCTCTGGACCTGTTCAGACTCGTCCCTGACTCTCCCTCTGAACAGGAGCGGTGTTCCTCAGGGTGGAGCGTTTTGGTGCTCCGGGTCGTCTGAGCGCCGCTGTGTGACTGAGGCGCACAGCGGCGCCAGCTCATCTGCTCTGAGGTTTGCATCATGTGAAGCTGCAGCAGGCGGGAAGTCCCTCCTGTTGCGCGCCGTTGCATCACCTCGCCTCCCTGTGAAGGCTGCTCCTCACTGAGCGTGCTCAGATGAAAGCCCTCCGTCATGTTTCAAAGCAGCGAGGCGTGCGGCCTTGCTTTTCTGACTCACTGTGTTTTATTTAAATGTGACGTTTCCTTCAGAGGAATCTGACAGACACATCTCACTTCTTATGTTCACGGAAAACAAATCGCATCCTTTGATTCAGTGACATATTGTTTCATTTCTGCTGCTCTGTTAGATTCATTTCCATGACTGTCAGTCAACAAGAAGGTTTAACTTTAACCTCTGACCTGCCGCTGGCGTTTCACTATCACCTGTTGGCCAAACGGACACATTCAGGTCTACACCTGCATCCCTGGTTCTAGAACCAGAATCTCTCTCTCCACCTGAAGCCAAGTGTTGAACCACAGAACCGCCCCGAGGTTCTGCTGCTGCTCCCAGAACAGAATCGCATCACGAGTCTCTGAATTCAGATTTGGCTGCAGGAAGTCGGACAGATGAGTCGTTGTGAAGTAAAAACCAGAGCTGACAGTTAGCAGGACGTCAGAGTGATGAGTCCTGCCCAACATGTCTGACAGCTGCGTTCACGTCTGCATCTCTAAACAGAATGTCTGACGAAGTATTTATCGAGTACATACGATAAATACCGCAGCTACGATACGACCTGGACCAAACCTGAAGCGATTCATCTGGTTTGTGTGGGTTGAAAGACTGGAATGGCTGTGAACATGCTGTGAAAATGTCGGCTTGAGGTCGGATTTCCCAGCTAAGTGAACGTAGCTTCACATCCTCTGGTCACTTTCTAGGACTGCGTTGCTTCTCTGCTGTTGCTACGAATTTGAAAAATGGCGGCGATTATTTCCTGTTTGCTCTGCTCATGTCTCTGACCACACGGCCAATCAGAGAACAGCAATGGAGTCACTCACTGGCGCTAAAACACACCTGGATCAAATGAATGAATTACCTGAGCCTAGTGGCTGAATGCAGATGAGTGGCTGAATGCAGATGAGTGGCTGAATGCAGGGTAGTGGCTGAATGCAGATGAGTGGCTGAATGCAGATGAGTGGCTGAATGCAGATGAGTGGCTGAATGCAGATTAGTGGCTGAATGCAGGTTAGTGGCTGAATGCAGGTTAGTGGCTGAATGCAGATGAGTGGCTGAATGCAGGTTAGTGGCTGAATGCAGGTTAGTGGCTGAATGCAGATGAGTGGCTGAATGCAGGTTAGTGGCTGAATGCAGATGAGTGGCTGAATGCAGATGAGTGGCTGAATGCAGATGAGTGGCTGAATGCAGATGAGTGGCTGAATGCAGATGAGTGGCTCAATGCAGATGAGTGGCTGAATGCAGGTTAGTGGCTGAATGCAGATGAGTGGCTGAATGCAGATTAGTGGCTGAATGCAGGTTAGTGGCTGAATGCAGGTTAGTGGCTGAATGCAGATGAGTGGCTGAATGCAGGTTAGTGTGCTGAATGAATGCAGATGAGTGGCTGAATGCAGATGAGTGGCTGAATGCAGATGAGTGGCTGAATGCAGATGAGTGGCTCAATGCAGATGAGTGGCTGAATGCAGGTTAGTGGCTGAATGCAGATGAGTGGCTGAATGCAGATTAGTGGCTGAATGCAGATGAGTGGCTGAATGCAGATGAGTGGCTGAATGCAGGTTAGTGGCTGAATGCAGATGAGTGGCTGAATGCAGGTTAGTGGCTGAATGCAGGTTAGTGGCTGAATGAGATGAGTGGCTGAATGCAGATGAGTAGCTGAATGTAGATGAGTGGCTGAATGCAGATGAGTGGCTGAATGCAGATGAGTGGCTGAATGCAGATTAGTGGCTGAATGCAGATGAGTGGCTGAATGTGAGTGCTGAATGCAGATGAGTGGCAAATGCAGATGAGTGGCTGAATGCAGGTTAGTGGCTGAATGCAGATGAGTGGCTGAATGCAGGTTAGTGGCTGAATGCAGATGAGTGGCTGAATGCAAATGAGCTGAATGCAGATGAGTGGCTGAATGCAGATGAGTGGCTCAATGCAGATGAGTGGCTGAATGCAGGTTAGTGGCTGAATGCAGATGAGTGGCTGAATGCAGATTAGTGGCTGAATGCAGATGAGTGGCTGAATGCAGGTTAGTGGCTGAATGCAGATGAGTGGCTGAATGCAGATTAGTGGCTGAATGCAGATGAGTGGCTGAATGAGATGAGTGGCTGAATGCAGATTAGTGGCTGAATGCAGATGAGTGGCTGAATGCAGGTTAGTGGCTGAATGCAGATGAGTGGCTGAATGCAGATGTGTGGCTGAATACAGGTTAGTGGCTGAATGCAGATGAGTGGCTGAATGCAGATGAGTGGCTGAATGCAGGTTAGTGGCTGAATGCAGATGAGTGGCTGAATGCAGATGAGTGGCTGAATACAGGTTAGTGGCTGAATGCAGATGATGGCTGAATGCAGATGAGTGGCTGAATACAGGTTAGTGGCTGAATGCAGATGATGGCTGAATGCAGATGAGTGGCTGAATACAGGTTAGTGGCTGAATGCAGGTTAGTGGCTGAATGCAGATGATGGCTGAATGCAGGTTAGTGGCTGAATGCAGATAGTGGCTGAATGCAGATGAATGGCTGCAGGTTAGTGGCTGTGGATGAGTGGCTGAATGCAGATGAGTGGCTGAATACAGGTTAGTGGCTGAATGCAGATGAATGGCTGAATGCAGATGAGTGGCTGAATGCAGATGAGTGGCTGAATGCAGGTTAGTGGCTGAATGCAGATGAATGGCTGAATGCAGGTTAGTGGCTGAATGCAGATGAGTAGCTGAATGCAGGTTAGTGGCTGAATGCAGATGAGTGGCTGAATGCAGGTTAGTGGCTGAATGATGGGACGGGTGTCTCTAAAAGTCCAGTCCTGGTGTTTGGGGCTCCGTCCTGTACGATGATGACATTGCAGAAGCGTTTTTAACGTGACTTCCTGTGTTTCAGGTGGCGGCGCAGGCCGTGCTCTTCCTGTGCATGAACACCGCCGGGATCTTCATCAGCTACCTGTCCGACCGGGCCCAGCGCCAGGCCTTCCTCGAGACGCGGCGCTGCATCGAAGCTCGCCTCAGACTCGAGACGGAGAACCAGAGACAGGTCAGTGAGTGCGGACGCTTCGACTGAAGCCTGCTGACACGATGCTGAAACCGCATCTGAGGTAAAACGTGAAGGAAAGAAGCAGGAAGCTGCTGGGGGTGGTTTTGGTGCATCAGTCGTTTCTCTGCAGGTTCATCATTTCTGTTTCCTCTCTGGTTTCCTGGAGAAGTTTCAGAAATGGTTTGGTTCCCTTTCCAAATTGATCGATGTCATTTACTATTTGAATTTCTTTCGATCTGGACATGAAGTGTTGTTTGACTTTTTATTTTGCTGTTTGACTTTTTTGCTAATTTAATCAAATTGCTGAATTTGCCTAAATTGAAGAAAAAATAATCAGAATCGGTTAAGCAAAATGAAAAGTGTGTACTTTATAGTACAAGCCACAGGGTGAAAATGGCGATCTAAATTATTTTATCATTATTTTTCATGATGACAGCTGCCTCTCTGGAGTGCGGCGCTTTCTGAAGAGCAAAGTGTCAAAGATTTTTATGTGCCTCCAAAATGGTTTTTAATGGGTCTGTATTTATCCCTGTCTGACTGGAAGAAGCGGTAAACTCTGGCCTCCATGTTACCGGACATGTTTCTACTTCCTGTTGTTGTGTGTGAGTGGGATTGGGCGATAAAAGAAGCAAAGCGGCTGGAGTGTTTCAGCGACAGAGGAAAACATGAACGCATCATCGATACGAAGCTGTCAGGGACACTTAGCATCTGACCAATAACACACACACACACACACACACACACACACACACACACACACACACACACACACACACACGCACACACACACGCTGATAGTGAGCTTTGTTTGCACCGAGGCTGTGAGGCACAGAAAGCTTTTAGCGGCCTCGTGTTTCCTGGAAGGCCGGGCTGTGATGAGTCGGGGCGCCGCCTGCAGCACAACACCTCCACATGGACCAATCAGAGCCCAGCATCCCTGACCGCCAGCGGCTTGTTTTCAGGCCGTATCTGAGGACTGACTGAGCTCTTCTTTGTTTTTCTTCTTCTGCTTTGTTTTTCTGGCGCTGTGGGAGATTACTGAGCTGCAGCAGGAGAAACGCCACGGCGTTACTGGATCATCGGCTGAATCAGCTTCCTGTCGGCGCTGTCAGCACTTTATTAGCGGAGTTTTACTTTTTATCTCCATGTCACCGGCTAACAGTGAAACTTATAGTTAATAAGAGAAATGCAGACAAGAGAGAGAGAAGCAGAAATCAATAAGCTGGACAGCCATGAAGAGAGCAGTTTAAACCTGCTGCTTACAGTTTCCATCATCCATCCATCCATCCATCCATCCATCATCCATCCATCATCCATCCATCCATCCATCATCCATCCATCCATCCATCCATCCATCCATCCATCATCCATCCATCATCCATCATCCATCATCCATCCATCATCCATCCATCCATCCATCCATCATCCATCATCCATCATCCATCCATCATCCATCCATCCATCCATCCATCCATCCATCCATCCATCCATCCATCATCCATCCATCCATCCATCATCCATCCGTCATCCATCCATCCATCCATCCATCCATCATCCATCCATCCATCCATCATCCATCCATCCATCCATCATCCATCCATATCCATCCATCCACATCCATCCATCATCCATCCATCCATACATCCATCCATCATCCATCCATCATCATCCATCCATCCATCCATCCATCCATCCATCCATCCATCCATCCATCCATCATCCATCCATCCATCCATCCATCCATCCATCCATCATCCATCCATCCATCCATCCATCATCCATCCATCCATCCATCCATCCATCCATCCATACATCCATCATCCATCCATCATCCATCCATCCATCCATCATCCATCATCCATCCATCCATCCATCCATCCATCCATCCATCCATCCATCCATCCATCATCCATCCATCCATCCATCATCCATCCATCATCCATCCATCCATCCATCCATCATCCATCCATCCATCCATCCATCATCCATCCATATCCATCCATCCACATCCATCCATCATCCATCCATCCATCCATACATCCATCCATCATCCATCCATCCATCATCCATCCATCCATCCATCCATCCATCCATCATCCATCCATCCATCATCCATCATCCATCATCCATCCATCCATCCATCCATCCATCCATCCATCCATCCATCCATCCATCCATCCATCCATCCATCCATCCATCCATCCATCCATCATCCATCCATCCATCATCCATCCATCCATCCATCCATCCATCCATCCATCCATCCATCATCCATCATCCATCCATCCATCCATCCATCCATCATCCATCCATCCATCATCCATCATCCATCAAGGTTCGACTCCAGCTTCCTCCTTCCACAAATTGTTGAATTTATTGTGGATTTTATTTACTCAGCGTCTGGTTTTAGACTCAGCGTCTGGTTTAAGACTCAGCATCTGGTTTAGACTCAACATCTGGTTTTAGACTCAGCGTCTGGTTTTAGACTCAGCGTCTGGTTTTAGACTCAGCGTCTGGTTTTAGACTCAGCGTCTGGTTTTAGACTCAGTCTGTGTGAGGCTGCGTTCACCCGGCAGTCAGATGGTTTGAAGGTCAGCGATCTGCTGGAGCAAATTATTTGTTTTGGTTTATTAAAAATAGATTTAGATTCTGCAGCTGCACAGCTCCTCCATCTGTGTGAAATAAAAAACAGTGAATTAAAGTGCCAGGGCCTCAGCGGGTCCAGAGAAATAAGAAACGCAAATAAAATTTAAATGAGACTGGAAAACACACCGAGAGTGAATAATGCAGCGCTGGCCGAAGACTTGATCAGAGGCGATATCTATGATTTATATCTATGATTTATATCTATGATTTATTCCATCATGGTCAGAGTTTATGCAAAGCCACATTCAGACCTCTGGTTCAGTGCAGGAGCTACAGACACAAACTCTGCTGAGTCACAGCAATATAAAAATATACACTTTCACACTTCATTCATTAATAAAGATATCTGAATTCAATCAAAACGACAGGCGAGCACAATGACACTGAGCCAGGTTGTTTTGTTGAGAAGGAAACTGGTGAACTGAACTATTAAAGGTCAAAGGTTAAAGGTTAATGTGAAGCTCGGTAAAAATGTCAGGAATAATTCTTAGTGAGTTTTAACTCTTAGTTGTGCCATTCTGTGCTTCAGACTTTCAGGGATTGTTGGAAAAAAGAAGTAAAGTTGTTGATTTTAAGCTCTATGATGAAACAAATGATCTCAGTCCTTTTCGATGTTTTTCAGTTTGAGAAAAAGAGCAACTGGTGTAATCAAATCACGATGTCCAGACACAGCAGACGTGTTTCCATTAACCACAGAAATATGCAAATTGATTTTATAAAAATACATTAGCTTAGTGAAAAAAAGATGTATTGCAAAACCTTTTTTGCATCAAACGATTCACATGATCATCAGCTGGATGTTACTACTGGTGGAAACGTCAAAGAAGATGACAGGAAGTTGTCGGATGATGGTTTTGATTTTTCATCTCAGTTCAGAAAAAGATGTTTCATTCCAACGTGTTTTTAATATGAAACATTTATTTCTGTGCTTGGAGTCCTCAGCGACGCGCCGGATGTTTTGTGCTGCAGCTCCTGCACAGCGGGAGGGAAATGTGTGCTGTCAGAGATCTGCTGCAGGCCTTCGTCCCTCAGCTAAAATCAAGCTGCGCTAATGATCATCTGAGCTAATCTGACACTGAGTCCGCTGGCTCTCAGCTGTCCAAACCGGGGACGGCGTCCACTCGAGCAGACAGAAGCGACCAGCTGGGAAAGTCAAGTCCTCTACTGGCCAAAACCAGCACCGCTGCTGCTGCAGCGGGTTCAGCGTTTGGACCAGAGTGACGATCTGGATGTTTGGTGAACCTGAGCAGCGGGCTGAACGTCTCCCGGCTTCAGGAGGAATCAGTCAAATGTGTTGCAGTGAAGCTGGGCCGGCCCGCGGCGTCGGGTTGAGATTCAGCAGCCGAGGCGTTATTAACGCGCCGCTGGAAGATGACTGTCTGAACCTCAGTGAGACGATTCTTCAGTTTTCAGCTCGGAAACAACAACAGGAACAACAAACAGCTGCTCTTCCTCTGACAGGCCAGATTTCTGACTGACTCACGTTTAAAAGATAAATGAGCAAAATGTTTGATTTTGGTAACAGCAGGAGAATTTTTAATTATTTAAGGCCTTTTCGGAACCTGTTTGGATTTTGGAACTTTACAGTAAAATACAGAATAAAATAAATCTGAATGGGCAGGAAGTAAATCATCCTGCAGTATCGGCACCGTTATTAATATCTGTCAGGAAGTTTGAATCTGAGCCTGAGGAATCAGAGGAAAGTCTTGAAAACACATTATTGTTTTCTGGATGTTGAGAGAAGTGAAGTAGCTCAGAGTTTTTTCTCTAGTTGAATATTTTCTAGACAGAAAAACACCGCAGACTAGCCGCAGATTCAACATTTTTATTTGCTGGTGAAAAACTTCAGATTTACAGAATAAAATATTCCGACCTCTTGAACTGCTAAATGAAATAAAGCCGATTGGACAGAATAAGAAATATCTCCAGTTTGTTTTGTGTGTTAAGAGTCGGGGGAAATGGGATAATATTCTTCTTCTTCTTCTTCTAAATTTCTCTTTTCTAAGTGACAGAAGCTCTGAAATGGAGGCGGCGCAGAGATGAGTTATAAAACCAGTTTATTAGGGACTAATCTGTCCCAGCGCTGCAGCAGAATATTGAAGGAAGGAATCATTCTGGCTGTAAAAGCTAAGCCGGCCCGTTTGGATCTTTATATTGCACATATATTGAGTATTTTAGGAGAGCGGTGGCTTGGATTTGATGCAGATCTCCTGAGAGATGCTCCCACTCTAAATCTGTTCCTGGATCTGCAGAGCGGCGCTGCCTCGTTTAGACCAATAAAAGCAAATCTTGTTTTCCTGCTTTTTTTTTTTTCTCTGCAGGCCTTGAGGCTTTTTTAGGATGCTGCTTGTGGCTGCAGGCTGGCAGAGTTAATGTGGTTTATTTGTTTTTACAGGCTTCATCTCTGCCATGCTGTCCTGTTTCTTGTTTTTGTGTCGCATCAAAACAAAAGCAGAGCTTGGTTTTTGACGTTGTCTGAACTTGATGGTCGGTTATGCAGAAAGGATGGAGATAAATTTAGCAGACGGTTGTGGGGAAGGCAGCAGCAGCAGGAACCAGCTCACTGTTTCTGGGTTTGGACTTCACGCTTCCTGGAACTCCGCTTTTCATTTGTTCGTCCATTTAAATTCATTTTCATATCTATTACTGTACATGTGGCAGTCAGAGTTTCTTGCTCCATTAATCATGTGAATCTGATGATTTCTGTATGTTGGCACATCGTGATCACTTTTGATTAAATAATTATTTTCTAGTCAACAAAGATTCATAATTGTATATACTGTCTTGAATTTGGTTAGATGCCCATAAACCGTTGGACCTGAACTCGTTTAGTGAAGAAGACCAGTTTATTTTCAAACTTATTGATCCATTTCTTGCTTTTACGAACCGGAGAAAGTTTGAATGTGTAACTTTGTGGCTGGAGGAACCGGCTCCGGTCCGAACCGCAGTCCGGTTCTGCTCATTACGCCTCTTCTCCTGCCTCTCTCCAGGAACGGCTGGTGTTATCCGTGCTGCCACGTTTTGTAGTTTTGGAAATGATCAACGACATGACAAATGTAGAGGACGAACACCTCCAGCACCAGTTCCACAGAATTTACATCCACCGCTACGAGAATGTCAGGTGAGCCGGTTCCGGTCGGGTTCAGGACTCATGATTGCTCCTCACATCAGGCCTTTTTCTGAGACACATTTCCGTTCAGTCAGAGAAACACAGCTTAGAGTGTAATCAGTATTTCTATCTAACCTGGAACTGAAAGTGACATTTCCGTATTTTATTCAGCATTCTTTTCGCAGATGTTAAAGGATTCACCAACCTCTCCACCACGCTGTCCGCCCAGGAGCTGGTACGAATGTTGAATGAACTCTTTGCACGTTTCGACCGTCTGGCTCACGTAAGTACAGGAACAGATTAGGAGATTTTGGGTAAAGGTAACATAATCTGTTAAAAACTGAGGTTCATCTTTTCTGAAGTTTTGCATGTTTTCCTTTCCCTCTGTTTGGGTTCAGAGGTCACGTTTCAGTAAAAAGAACCTGGTTTTCTCCCCAGGAGCATCACTGTCTGCGCATCAAGATCCTGGGAGACTGTTACTACTGCGTGTCTGGGCTGCCGGAGCCCAGACCGGACCACGCCCACTGCTGCGTGGAGATGGGACTGAGCATGCTCAAAACCATCAGGTGAGACCTGGCTGCTTCTGGATTCACTGCTTATGATGGGATGGAGGACGATTCAGCAGGTCTGAGGAGGAGGAGGATGATGAAGGGTTTAGGGCATATATACCTCTCTTCACACAGATCTGAAGGTCAAAATGCTCCAAAGGTTTGAAGGGTTTCCTGAAAAGTTGATCCAATTTCACTTCACCATGCAAAGCACAGCAGCTGATTTGGATTTAAACCTGGACTTTGACTAGGTCGTTTCAAAGCCTTGATTTTTATTTTACAGGATTAAAATCCAGAGTGAATACGATTGAACCTGAGATTAAATTACTGCCATTTTTATAAACAAATCATTCATCTAATAATCTACATTAAACAGAAACTTTCTAATCAAAGCTCATTTGTTATTGTTGCTTTCATTTCTTTCAATTAAATAATTTTCTTAAAATAGGAGAAAAATCAACATTTTCCATTTCTGTCTCACTTCAGCTAAAACCTTGAATGTCCTGAAAGTCACAGCTGCAAAAATAGATGATTTAAAATATTTACTGAGACAAATTAACAGTTAAAAATGAGTCGCTTTAGGGCACAAATATAAATAAATGGTTAATTTAAAGAGTGTGCAGCAATGGGAAAATCTGAAAATACAATAAAACAGAAACTTGTCCCTGAAATGCTCCAAACAAATATTAGCGCCGGTGAAAACAAACTCTACTTTACATGCAAATGTTTCTGCATAATTCATGCAAATAATTGTGAGCCTGAATGTGGAGCCATTTATAAGCAAAGTGTTTTAACCTGGTCGGCCCGGCCGGCCCGGCGCCGCGCCGCTGGCTAATGACACACCAGCAGATTATAATAACCACCTTCCACACGTGTTCTGGAAAAACACGCACACACACACACACACACACACCACACACACCACACACACACACCACACACACACACCACACACTGACACACACACACACACACACACACACTGACACACACTGACACACACACACACACACACACACACACACACACACCCCGACACACACACACACACACACACACACACACACACACCCCAGTATCACGGCCTTCTGCACGTTTCCCTGTAAATGAAATTGCTGGTTTCAGATATTTAACCTTTTGCAGATTTTAACTTTCACTGGGAGTTAAAAGTTTTGTCAATAAAATTCATTGCATTTTTCAGCAAAATAAGCAACATTTTCAATTCAAAACCTTTTTTGCTGCTAAAGTAATAGATAGACACATAAGCTCAACATCAAAGTAATGTCTTGGTTTTATTTATCATGTCATCATTAAACCATCTGATCGCAGCAAAGTGTTTTTCTATCCATGCAGCTTCCCAGAGTTTCTCTGATTATTCATGGAGCTTTTTAGAAATGTGGATGCTGACATTAGCGATAGCTGCTACATGTTTAGCATTGAGATGCTACTTCAGGCTAACAGCTTTTAGCACAACAATAGTCTTTTCCAGCCAATCGGATCAGTTTAGAAGCAGAAATTAACCTCAGTGCTCAGAGAGAAGCAGCTGTTTCGTCCATCTGTTAGCAGATGCAACTTGTGTATCAAATTTATCGGCGTACCAGAAACACGTCGATACAAATGTTCCGGGCGGAACAAAAAATTACTTACTCTGTAAAATATTAGGTGCAATAAATCTATGTGATTAATTAATCACAATTACCAGCTGAAAGTCCCAGGACGACTTGAATCTGATTTTAAACTGATTCTCTGTTTAAATCTGCTGAAGCAGCAGATTTAAACAGAATCTCTGGTTCTGATCTGAAGAGTTGGACGGCTTCAGTTTTCAATCACTGAATTAGAGAATCGGGACATGCAGCATTTCACTGCAGCTCGTCTTCATTAAAGGCTCCTTGAACAGGTGAGAACAGATCAACGGCCTATACAAAACCTGTTCATTACGTTTTCTGCACAAAATCATAATTAAATTTTATTGCTGTTCAGGGCCTCTGTCATTTTAAAACCAAAGCATCTGCTGCTGGCCACGCCCACCCAACTCAGCGTTGCCTGAAAACTGTTGAGTAGTCATACCATCGTAAACCTTTGAAAAGCAGAAGTGGAGCCTCCTGCACAACCAATACATTCTGCATCCAGAATGCAGCAAGTGGTTTCTGGATGGCGAGTTAACAACAGACACCAGAAAACATAAATTTATTACTGATTGTTTTTTTAAAGTCTTGGTCGATTTTTAGAAGAAATTGAAATAAAAGTACAAAATTGTGCAAAATGTGAATTTGGCATCATTTGTCCCCTTTAACAATGAATTTCTTGACTTTGTTCCATTCCCTGTCTGCCTCTTGTTGAAAGAAAAAACTGAGTTTTTGAAGTGAGTTTTGCAGCGCAGAGCTTTAGAATCCTTCTGCCCTCTGGTCAGGAGGAGAATCGGCGCAGCAGAAGTAACATCCCAGCTTTTACTCCTCCGATCCTCAGAAAACGCTCCCTGAGCTTCTGACTCCGCTGCCGGCTCTAATTCAATAATTGTCTTTATTGCTGCTGGATTTCGACCTCTTGCTTCTCTTTCTGAGTGACACTGAGGGCGGAGAAGAGAACGTATATTGGCCGGGAAGAGGGGGATTAGTGATGGATAAGCTGAGGTTGCTGCGTTTGGTTGCTCCAGCAGCAGGATGAGTGAAGCCGCTGAGGACGGAGCTGATTGGTCGGCTTTGTGTCGCATCAGTCACACCGTCTCCTCCTCTCCGGCCTGCGTCATCTTTCCGTCAATCTGCAGATCGCTGCTGTTGATATCCTGCAGCTGCCATTAAGCACCTGTCTCACCTTCCCAGGATGCATTTCACCTGCCGCTGCAGCGATGAGGCGTCAGCTTCAGTCCTGCTTTCATTCTCTTCACAGATGATAAACTATGAAATGAGACGCAAATTTATGAACATTTTTTCCACCGTTTTATTGAAAAGCGATTCACTTCCAGCAAAGGTTACATTCATGTTTATTAATTTGCTGCATTAATGCACAAGGCTCATGTATTTTACCATGTTACTTAAAATAACAGCATATTATGGAAACATTATTCACTTTGGGTCAATCATATCATTTATTTATATAATCTATAGTTTAAAATGCATTTTTGAACACAGCTGTATATCTGCTAAAAATACCAGCAGGTTTAGAAAAGCAGGAAAAACTGCAGAAAGTGAAGAAAATATTCATTTTATACTTCTTAGTTGCATTCTGGGAAGTTCTTCAGCTGCGGTTTGCTTGGACTAGACCAACATTTGGACATTTCATCCATCCAGCAGCAGGTCTTCTGCTTTTGCTCCCAGAAACATGTTTAAGGTCTCTGTTGGATCAGAACCATCACACTGTTCTATTATATACTGTTATATTTGTAAAAATCTAAATGAAATGTCTTTGTTGAGCCATTTGTTTATTTAGTCAATAATTTAGCAGCAAAACGTTTTTTATTTGAAAAAGTCGCTTATTTTGGACGTCAGGAAACTACAGAAGGGTGAAGACGTGAGACTGGAGAGTGGGACCGTAATGAAACTTTCTCTCGTCCAGATACGTCCGATCTCGTACGAAACACGACATCGACATGCGGATCGGGATCCACTCCGGCTCGGTGCTGTGCGGCGTTTCTGGGCCTCAGGAAGTGGCAGTTTGACGTCTGGTCCTGGGACGTGGACATCGCCAACAAGCTGGAGTCCGGAGGCATCCCCGGGTGAGGACGCGTGTGTGTGTGTGTGTGTGTGTGTGTGTGTGTGTGTGTGTGTGTGTTTGTGTGTGTGTGTGTGTGTGTGGATCCAACCCAAAACACAATAACAGGAGTTTTACTGCCGCCATGGTCCAGTCTAAAGAGAGAGAGGTTTTAGTTTCTGTTCCTGAACATCCTGCAGCGTCTGTCACTGAGCCGGATCGTGACCTCTGACCTTTGCTCTTCAGTGAAATCTGTTGCATAACAGCAGCTCCTCTGGTTCCATGAATGTTTTCGTCACATCCAACACTTCAGACACTCGCTGTAACCGGCGGACTTGACCTTTGGTTGCAGCAACATTCAGCCACCGACCTGACAGTGACCTTTACATTCACACCTGCACAGGTCACTGATTGGCTGCTTCATTCACACCTGGACAGGTCACTGATTGGCTGCTTTTGGTGGAAACTCATTCAAATCTGTCATATTTTCTTATTGTGACTTTAACAATTGTTTGCTCTGGTTATTCTACGAAATGCCAATGGTGCCAAATTACAACAGATATAAGAATAAAATTATTGAAATGTGTCATTTATTTGTTTAATCCCAAAATAAATACAGAAATAATTTATTCAATATAGAATTATATACATGTTTTCAACATGTTTCATTTTAAAAACTAGTTGTAATTATGTAATAATTTTATGAATTATTTTTGTTCCTGTGCTGAAGCACATCATAAATTCACTTAAATTGTTAACTTCAGCCATCAAACTCAGTGGGCGGGGCTAAAGGGAGGCCCTGACTTCTGATTGGCTGCTTCAGTCACTTTCTTACATGTTTGCTACGACTCGGGGTTAATATTTCTTTTCAGTTTTAATGTTAATGACTTGTTTAAATAAATGTTTAGTAAGTCATGTACATATTTAATTTATAAAGGACATTTTCACATGTTAAAAGGGAACTAATCTGCCAGTGTAACCAGTACTATTGAATTAAAACAAGCTCCTGTATCCTTCTGAAAAGTCACTGGTAAGTTAGTTTTGTCTTATTTCAAATGTACAACTCGGAAAAATACTTGGTAAGATTTTGTTTTTGCATCGTTGTAAATTGGCACTTAACATTTAAAAAGGATGAATGTGTTTTTATTTTGTATACTTTACAGAAATGATCCATCACATTAATGGAACTGATGTTTGTCTGATATTTCTGTCGCGTTTCAGGCGGATCCACATCTCCAAAGCCGCTCTGGATTGTCTGAACGGCGACTACGAGGTGGAGGAGGGTCACGGCAAGGACCGCAACGACTTCCTGCGGCGCCACAACATCGAGACGTACCTGATCAAGCAGCCGGAGGAGAGCCTGCTCACGCTGCCGGAGGACATCATGAAGGAGGCGGCGAGCTCGGCCGACCGCCGGGCCAGCAGCGCCACCTTCAACGAGGCGTCCTGGAGCCCCGAGCTGCCCTTCGACAACATCGTGGGAAACCAGAATGTAAGACCCGCCGGCTTCTGTTTCACACTGAGAAAGAACGGCCGTCTGGACCCACGGCCCGTCCTGCAGCAGAACCATTGGGCTTCCATCAGGAGGGAAATGTTCCACGCTTCCTGCAGGGCGGCGCTGTTTGAGGGACGGGCCGTTGTTTTGCAGTGCATGAAATCTTCTGGGTTGTTTTGTCCCTTTTAGTTCCTGGGATTGAACAGACAGTGTGTGTGTGTGTGTGTGTGTGTGTGTGTGTGTGTGTGTGTGTGTGTGTGTGTGTGTGTGTGTGTGTGTGTGTGTGTGTCGGCCTGCCTGTGTGAGGATGACGAGCACCTTTAACATCTTCCTCTCTCTGTTTGGTCTTCATCATCTGTGTGAATCAATCTGCTGGTTTTTCCTGGAGGATCAAACTGATGTAGTTTGATCAAAAGCAGTAATTTAACGTCTTAAACATCCTCAAAGTCAGATGTGTTTCAGACTGCTTCACCAACTGAGCTTTAAAACATGAATAACAAGCCAACCATCCAGTCTGTCTGCGGTTTATTCACAGTTCTGTGACAGTTTGGATCTGCATGATGGTATCGGAGTGAAACCTGCTGCAGCTCTGGCTGCGTCCACACAGCGCCGCTTGATGCTAAATTCAGATTATTGTTGTTATTTTTGTTGTTATTTTTGTTGTTGTTGTTATTTTTTTCTGCAGCAGAAGAAGCCTGGCTTCTTCTGCTGCAGAAATGTGATGCTTCTCTATTTTGCTGTTATTTCCACAACTTTTCTCTGTTACTAAGCAACAAAATGCAGCCGATACATTTTGGCTGAATATGTGAAATTTCCAATAGCAGAAGGGATTTCTTGTTGTCTCATGTTTATTGGCACCAGTCATACAACGAATTGGTGCACCACTGCCACCAAGTGGCATGGAGTCCAACTGCATGTTTTTGTTTTGTGTGTGTGGGGTTGTGTGTGTGTGTGTGTGTGTGTGTGTGTGTGTGTGTGTGTGTGTGTGTGTGTGTGTGTGTGTAGGAGGTGTAACATCATGTGTTACTCCTCCTACACAGCCCCAGCTCACCAAAGGCGTTGATGAAATGCAGACACTTTGAAAACAATCTGATTTGTATCAGATTTTTTTCCATTTACATGATGATAATATTTAATGATTGTTGATCATCAGTTGGAGTTTCTGATTTAATCAGCCTCTCACACAACAGTGTGAGGTTTGCTCTGGTTTCCTCAGTCAATCTGAGGACTGAATGATTTTCTCCATAAGAAGTCACATTTATTTACAATCCTGTCATGAAACTCAGCAAACTGATGCCTCAGAGTCTCTTTCTGTGATTTCTCTGTGATTATTCACTGGAATCCTGACTGTTTGCAGCCATTTGAAATGTTTTCCAGGTGTAACTAGTAAATATATCCTGGCTTAAAGCATTTGTTGCAGTAAACTGATTTGTTTGTGCTTTGTTCAGGTTTGTGTCGTTGCAGCCTGTCAGGTTTCCAGCTTCAGAGGAATTTGTTTCTGCTGTTGTTGGCCTGGTAAAGCGCCTGTCGGATCAAAAAGCTTGACTTGTGCACATCAAAGCTTCCCTGAGTGGTTGTGCAGAGTCGTCTCTGGCTTCCCGTCTCCTGCAGGTTCCTCCCCCCGCGCTGTCCATGTGATTCACGTCTCTGCATCAGAGCACGCAGCGCAGAGCGGCTTGCAGGCTGTGTTTCTATCCGGGTCAGGCCAGGTGAGCCATCAGCGCCGGCCAGCGAGCAAGACGCTGGAAAATCTGAGCAGAGCAGCAGGAACCTGAAGACAGAACAGCAAGGCTCTGAGTCAGGGGTGTCCACAGTGCGGCCCGGGGGCCGTTTGAGGCCTCAGACTGAACTTGTCTGAGGCCTACACATTGCAAAAACAAAATCCTAACAGGTTTGTTGTAGTTTACAGTGTAAATATCTCAGTACACTTCAAAACTAACTTACAAAATAACCTTGATAGTGATGTTAGCATCAGTAGTTGTAGTGGCACTGATAGCTGTAGTAGCATTGTTAGCAGTCCTAGTGGTGATAACATTGGTTGCGCTGTTAGTATTAGTAATGCTAATAGCATTGGTAGCACTGTTAGCATCGGTAGCGCTGTTAGCATTGGTAGCACTGTTAGCATCGGTAATGCTGTTAGCATCGGTAGCGCTGTTAGCATCGGTAACGCTGTTAGCATTGATAGCACTGTTAGCATTCGTAATGCTGTCAGCATTGGTAGCACTGTTAGCATCGGTAGCGCTGTTAGCATCGGTAGCGCTGTTAGCATTGGTAGCTGTGACAGTGGTCCCTTGGGGCTGACTGCACATCCAGAAGATTCTTTCAGAAACGGACTCAGGAGTCCTGAGATTCCTGCAGCTCGGCGCCGGTGCCCGGCGCCGGTGCCCAGCTCCGCTGCGTTTCTGCTGGCGGCCATGATGCTCATCACTGCCATGGAGCCTCAGCTCATCACCAGAACCTCTGCAGGGAGACGCTCGTCCTCCGGGTTTCATCTGCGAATGAAGCTCAGCTGAATGTTTGGACTCAGGAGAGTCCATCAGGACATGTTTGGAAATCCGCATGTCAAAAGGCAATCTGCCTAATAAATGTCAAGATGGTTCACTTTATGCGACATTGTTCCTGCTGCGCCTGCGGCGGCTCGTGTCCTATGTAACTGCTTGCCTGCGATCCTTTAAAGAGCACCGCAGGAGACCTGTTGCAGCTGCAGACTGGAAACTAATCACATTCTAACCTTCATGGTCACTTTTTTAGACATCTTCATCTCCACGTCCAACGCTGCTGTTTCCCACAGATGGAGGTTATTTTTGCGTCACATAGATCAGCTTACATGTAGTAAATCTGAACACAGCGCTCAGCAGGCTGACTTTGACTAGGCCTGCTGGGATCGGTGGCCTTTCTGCTCCGCGCTCTCTCAGAGACCTTCACGCCAAACACGATCAGGCCAGCCGGACTCGGAGCCGCTCCCTCCCTGTCCCTGCGGCAGCGTCTCTGCTCCGAGGCCAGGCGTCTTCCTGAGGTCACATCCTGTGCTTCACTGGATGTTTGCATTCCGAGGGTCCAGATGATCACAGAAAGCAGATGGTGGGTCAGAAAGCCGCAGGGGGCGTAAACACTTGAAACAAACGGCTTCGTGTTTGAGCTTCTGCTCTGAAGTGAGCAGAAGCTGAAAGATTCAGTTGATGTTCTTGATGTTCAAAGATCTGCTGCAGATGTTTCAGATTCTGGTTCTAGTCGAGGATTTCCCTCTTCGTTTCTGAATGAAGCGAGTAACAAGGATTTTCTCTGGATGCTGAGACGATGGAAATGCTGATGGTTTCTCTCAAACTGATGGTGGAGATGCAGAAACCTCTCATATTTATTTGGAAATCTGATTTAGATTGAAGGTGTGGACAGGAAGACGCCGGACACGTGGCTGGCGGATCTGGGCCAAGCGGGTCGGCGGATGGGAGTCCTGATGGACGGACATGGAAACATCCAAGATCCAAAGCTTTTAGCTGAGATGACTCAGAATAATGTTTCCTTTTTTCCTCCACTGAAGTTTTTCTGTGATGTTCAGTTTTCCTTGGAGATCATGGCGAGTGGAGAGTGAAACGGACAGAAACTGCAACCAAACAAACATTTGTGGAAAAATGACCCAAAGTGAAACTTTTGTATTTATTCTTTAATATGAAAACTGAGGAATCGGGATCCAAGACAAAACCTTTCCTGCTGCTTCCAGATAGAAGCTGCAGCCGTGCAGCGGCCGGTTCTGACCCGGCTGGATGCTAGCGGCGTGTTCGGTCTGATGAGGCTTGGCGCTGTCATGGCGGCTCCTCTGGCGGCCTCCGTTATGACCCGCCTCATGTGTTTGCTGTCTGGTGCCAGATATGCTAATCATCTGACACTTGGGCCACTTGATATCCATTCATATGCATGAGAGCTTTGCTCCGGTCCGGTTCAGCTTCGCTCCGGTCCGGTTCAGCTTCGCTCCGGTTCAGCTTCGCTCCGGTCCGGTTCAGCTTCGCTCCGGTCCGGTTCAGCTTCGCTCCGGTTCAGCTTTGGCTCGTCTTCCCCGCCTGGAGCCCCTCGGCTCACGCTGATTAACGGCTCACAGATCGGCTACAATCATCTGTTCATTCAAAAAGCCCTGAAAATGGCTTTAATTCAGCTGAACTGAACGTAGAAATAAATTATTCTGGCGGTTAATCAATAACAGCACTGCTCTGCTGGGCTGAGCCGATTAGCTATGGCTAACTAGCATATCTCAGCTAGCTAGTTTGATTTATTTGTTTTTACATAGTTTGCTTCTTTTACCTACTATGAACAACATTGTAGTTCATCACATTTAAACCCTGAGAAGAATATAAATTATAAAATATATTTTTAATTTTGGCAATTTTATCCACTGAGTTGTTTTTGCTAACTAGCTTGACGATAAGCTAACAAAATGATCTGATACTGAAAGACAAATGTAGCTAAATTTATCAAGTTTTGAAAACAAAATTTGAATCTATAGAAAAGAAAATTGCTGAACCTTTTCATTTTAATACTGTGTGACAAATTACAACGAATAGTGAAGGTATAACAATGAAAATATCATCAATTAAAAGCCAAACCGATTATTCAAAATATTCTTAATAAAAAATTTTCTGACAGAATCTGAACCAGGAGAAGTTAAAACTATTTTAGAAAAGTTCTAAGAAGATTTATTCTGATCTTAAATGTTTGTATTTCTGGACAGTTTTGGGTTCATTTCTGCTCTGAATCTGTTGCTCTTTCTGCAAGCAGCTTTTTAGTAGTTAATCAACTACTAAATAAACTGATGTTTGTTCACTAATCAATTAATCCAGGTTAATTATTTGAGTCCTGGCATTTATTTACCATTTTCTATCCTTTTAGTGATGTTTTTAAATAGATGTCAAACTTTATGAAAGTTTGTCTTTGGTCTAGTTTCAGAACCAATTAATTCACTGAGCCATAAAAAGACTCCTGAACTCAAAGGATGAGCAAATAACTGACTGAAACTGACCAGTTTCTCCAGCTTTATCTGTAAACTAACGGTGATGCTGGCAGCTGTTTCTGTCTCATGTTGCCCATGTGAGGGAATCTCCAGCTCCAACGGCTCTGAGTGATAAGTGTCTGAATCGCCCGTTTATTATTTCCAGGTAGTTTCCATTAGCGTGTAATTCTGGCGACAGCGGAGCCGGCCGGTAACAAAGGGCCGAAAGCATCCATTAATCAGGACCGAGGGGGACGGCCATGCATGTGGAGCCTGAAAATGAATTTTTAATGATGTATCTGAGCGATGGATCTCATGTGTTAACGTGTCGCATCAGGCGAGCGAGGTGAGACGCCGCTTTGTTCTGAGATATTGAATCTCCAAACATCTCCATCTCCGCTCACAGCTTACGGCCGGCTCTGCCGCCCCCGGACCCTCCAGAAGGTAACCTGATGCTGCAGCTGCAGCGGTTTGGAGGAAACGGCTGCTGTGACCTGCAGAGCTGCTCATCAGGGAGGCAAAAAACCACCACATGCAGATCTGACACATTCTTTACAAAAATACGCTCAGATTCCACCAGTTTTCTTACCAGAGCCATGAAACTGAAAACTAGCAGTTAGCTAGCTTATAAATTATATAAAATAATGCCAAAAAGCACCAATAATGCAGAGTCTCAAACGGAATACTGTGAGGTTTTGTGGCAAAATGTCAACAACTTCAGGTTGTATTAATAATTGGTGCAAATTTCGCTTCAAACTCTTCACACTTTGTTTTCTGCTCATAATTAAATGAATTTTAACTCAGTTGGTGAAGCACTGATTCTGAAAAGATTGTGATTCCTGACGAATCATTGATTTAATTAGCTGAATTTGACCCGGTAACGTAGTGATGCTGGCTGCTGTTTCTTATTTGGAATTATTTATTTATTCCAAATAAATCAAATGGAAAACAAAAACCAGCATCCTGGTTTTCCTCATATGGTCGTACAGTTTTTTTTTTGTTGTTTTTTTTTTGCTTTAAACCTGTGAAAATGTTTTAGATTTTGTTTACAAAAGAGGAAAAAGTCAAAGGTACTTGTTGCATTTTTCCAAAAGTTTGATAGGAGGGATTAAGTTAAACTAGACGAACCTGAAAATCTTAAATGTTTTCTTTTATTTATTTGTGCCTGTTAGAGTCTAATGTGAGTTTTTGCATCTGGACTCTTTTCTGAGCTGTTTTTCCTCCGTTTCCTGCCTGATGATTTTGGTTTCCAGCCCTGTAACTGTGTTTGAGTCTTTCTGATGGCGCCTGCACCAACATGGCCGCCGCGGCGCCTGCACCAACATGGCCGCCGCGGCGCCTGCACCAACATGGCCGCCGCGGCGCCTGCACCAACATGGCCGCCGCGGCGCCTGCACCAACATGGCCGCCGCGGCGCCTGCACCAACATGGCCGCCGCGGGCCTGCACCAACATGGCCGCCGCGGCGCCTGCACCAACATGGCCGCCGCGGCGCCTGCACCAACATGGCCGCCGCGGCGCCTGCACCAACATGGCCGCCGCGGCGCCTGCACCAACATGGCCGCCTCGGCGCCGCCGGCGAATGGAACCTGCATGTCTGCTGTCGCTCTGACAGCTCATGTTGCATTTTGGTCTCCCGTCTTTCCTTCTTTTTGATTTAATTTTGTGTTTGTAAGCGACTGTGTGTCTGTTGTTTTTTTTTTTGTTTGTAACCTGAATGGAACGAAAACGGGGGAAAAGCAGGTTCATTCTGTGTGCATGTGCTTTCCCTCTAGACTCTGGCTGCCCTAACGAGAAATTCGATAAATCTGCTTCCAAACCATCTTGCACAAGCTTTGCATGTCCACTCTGGTCCTGAGGAAATTAACAAGCGAATAGAGAGTGCCATCGACTTACGGAGTGGCGATAAGTTGAGAAGAGAGCATATCAAGCCTTTCTCACTGATGTTTAAAGACTCCAGCCTGGAAGAGAAGGTAGCTGGGGTTTGAGATAGATCCATGTTTTCTCCTCTCTCTCCCTCCTCATACCTACTTCTGAGATTTATAAAAACCAAAACATGACACCAATTTATTCAATCATGAGTAAGCTAAAGGCACTTACATTGGTTTATTGCCTTTATTAATTTCGCCATATTCACACGAATCCCTGAATAAAAACAAACTGACAAAATGAGGACAAATTTTCAGTTTGAGAATTTGGATTTAAAATATTTGGTGTGTAAAGTGTGCCATCAGTAATCTGTGTTCTACTATAGAAAGTTATTAACTTTTTAGTAAAAAAACTAACTATTTGAGTAACGACTAAACAGATCCAATCATTTTTTTCTGAACTTTGAGAACAAATATTATTCTGTAAAAGGAAAATAAAGTTATTTCTTTATTCCAAATAAATCAAATGGAAAACAAAAATCTGGAGAAGCTTCGCTTCGAGGGAAGTTATTTCCAAATGAGATATTTTAGCATAAATTTTGTTTTGTTTAGGTTAGAATTTGTTAGACTAAAATAATAAATTTGCGATTTCAGTGGCACACTTTGGACTCCATACAGAAAAATTGGTCTGTAAAAATTCACCCTGATAAAATCCAGATTTTCTGAGTATTTTAGGAAAATCTAAAAAAGATTTATCACTCATATTTTAACTGTAATAATCACAGAACAGATGTTTTGTTTTTGTTTTCTTTACCACAGCGTAGAGACGCCCCTTCAGTTTACTCATGACCAAAACCTTTGCACCATGGAACTATGGGAAATGTTACAGTTCTGTGGACAAAATTGACCAGATCAACTTCATTTTTAAATTATTATTATTTTTCTCTTATCTATTGATCACTGCATTCAGTAAAAAAAAACAAACATGAGCCTTGTCTAAAACAATGTTTATATTCAAGTCCTGAATTTGAAATTGAATTTTATTAAACGCGATTAATAACCCAGGATATAGATGAATAAAAAGTATGAATGATCTTTTCTTTGCTGAATGCAGTCTCCTTTTGCACATCTTCTTTATATTTTCCCGTTTTGTTTTTGTTGCTTTTGAGTTCATATTGGCTTCCATACTTTGTGTTTTATCACCATCCCCCAAAATTACCTTCATTTGAATATTTAATTTGTTCATCTGATTAACCTGTAAACCTCCTCAGTAAATGTGCAGTGATTTGTTGTCGGCTCCCTTCATCCTCCTTTATAATTTCTTTCATTTTTCTTTCTTTAATTTCTTTTTTTACTTTTTGCCAAAGTTGTGACCGAACGTGAAGCATCCTCTTGCTAATTTCCCAGCACCCTTGAAGAAAGAGACAGCGGGTCGGGGCAGCAGGCGGTTTGGGGCAGCAGGCAGGTCGGGGCAACAGGCGGTTTGGGGGCAACAGGCGGTTTGGGGGCAGCAGGCGGTTCGGGGCAACAGGCGGGTCGGGGCAACAGGCAGGTCGGGGCAACAGGCGGTTTGGGGGCAGCAGGCGGTTCGGGGCAGCAGGCGGGTCGGGGCAACAGGCGGGTCGGGGCAGCAGGCGGTTCAGGGGCAAAAAGGGCCAATAATCTGAGCCAACACATTACACATTTAACCGAAGGTTTGAAACAGGCCTTTGTTTCTTTAAGCAGAAAATTTAAGTATATTATTATTATTATTAAATAAGTTTTTTAGTTGGATGATTTTCTTTGCTAAAGTTTGGTTGTGGCTAATTAGCATAGCTTAGCTCTAATTTTTAAACATGTTTCTTTATTTTTTGCTACTTTTATCTATATTTAGTAAGATTGTATTTATCAGTCATTATATTTAAACCCTTGGAGGAAAATAAATTTGTCGTTATTTCTGATAACAATCTTAAGGAAAAGTGTGTCAAATACAAATGCATTGATCAAATTCTGAATACAAAATCAGTTTTTCTGTTCCTGTTTAGTTCATTTCTGTTTGACAAAATAAACCAAGTAAAGAAGGCAAAACATAAAAGGCACCAAATTAATGTCTTTGCATTTTTGTGCTTTATTTTGTAGTTGTTAATTAGCAGGGCCATAACAACATGTAATGAACTAATTTTCGTGAATCTTCAGTCCATGTTTCAGGTTCAGGTTTATTTTGGCTCAGCGCTCTCTGTTGGGTCTCGGTTAACATCTGAAAACGCTCTCAGCGAGCATCGTGTCTGTGAGCTTCGCTCCTTCCCCAGGACCCTTAGCTGACCCCCAGCTCCTGTCTCTCTCTGACGCTTGTGGTCGACCGAGTCGCATGCACCCGCTGCAGAGCATCCGCTGCAGAGCATCCGCTGCAGAGCATCCGCTGCAGAGCATCCGCTGCAGAGCATTCGCTGCAGAGCATTCGCTGCAGAGCATCCGCTGCAGAGCATTCGCTGCAGAGCATCCGCTGCAGAGCATCCGCTGCAGAGCATTCGCTGCAGAGCATCCGCTGCAGAGCATTCGCTGCAGAGCATTCGCTGCAGAGCATTCGCTGCAGAGCATTCGCTGCAGAGCATCCGCTGCAGAGCATCCGCTGCAGAGCATCCGCTGCAGAGCATTCGTGTGTTTGGCGCGTTTTGGCTCGTCCAGTCCTCTCTGTTTGTCTGAAAGCCTGTTTCTGCCCCTCACCTCCTCTTCCTCCTGCTTCTCTCTTGGTCTCTCTGTCCCTGTGCAGTACTCACAGATGAGGGACGAGGTTTTCAAGTCCAACCTGGTCTGCGCCTTCATCGTGCTCATCTTCATCACGGCTATTCAAAGCCTGCTGCCCTCTGCCAGGTAAGGGAACATCAGACAGCAACAGTTTCCTCAACATGAGGAACAAATGGATCAGAGAGAAACAAGAGCAGCGGAAGAACTGGATAAATATCCTACTGTCAAATGTATCTGAAAAAGGTCTAATTATACAATCTGCATCGCCGCATTAGGTCAATAAACTTCCTCCATAGAATCAGGGAATCTATCAGTTTCAGAATAAAACATCTTCAGCTTTTGAAGTCAAAAGTTCTGACATTTTTTGTCTCAGATTTCAGAAATTAATCTCAAAATCTTTAGCAGATTTTCAACTTTTCAATCAGATAAAGCGATGGAGTTTTCTCTCAGGCAACAAAAAAAAGTCTGATTTCAGTTTTCAGGTATTTTCTGCGTCGTTTCCAGACGGAGCAGCTGCTCGTTTAGCGGCTCAGGACTCTGGCAGGGAATGGGTTGAGATGCTGGAAATGGTTTTATTTCCTCTTTTCTCTGAGCCTCAGCGGGATTCTCATGTCCTGAAGTTAAAATCTGAACATATTAGAGCTTCTTCAGACCCTCTTTAAGAGTCACTGGCTGTTTAAAATAGTCATGTTTTTGTTAAGTCTGTTTTTTGTGTGCAGAATGGTGACGATGGTGATCCAGTTCTCGGTCCTCATCGTTCTCCACTCCTGTCTGGTTCTGGTCACGACGGCGGAGGACTACAAGTGTCTGCCTCTGGTTCTGAGGAAAGCCTGCTGCTGGATCAACGAGACGTACGCGGCGCGGAACGTCATCATCTTCGTCTCCATCCTCATCAACTTTCTCGCCGCAATGATCAACATTGTAAGAGGATTAAAAAAGAGAAGAGAAATGTTATTTCTTCCTTCTAGCTTTGAGATTTCCACGTCTGACAATGATTTATTTCCAACCATCGATGTTTGCCTACAAAACAAAAAATGTGTCTTTTGTATCTTTTTGTTCTGAAAGGTTTTCAGAACCATCTGTTTTTTTTAGATGTAGTCAAAGTCCAAAAGTTTAATACCACATGCAATATTTGTAGTTTATACATTATTTATCCAAATTAGCTTCATTACTGAAAACTAGATGATGGGGAAGTGAGTCCAGTGTGATTCCTATGTGTTAAATATGCATCAACAGCATTAGTGGTAGACGTTCACACCATCATGACCCAAAATCACTCAGAGACCCGATTTCAGCAGGTAGACGTGGAAATGAAGTTATGATTGGAAATCTGATCCATTGATCTGTCTCCACCGACAGCCGAGGGAATGAATCTCCTCAGTGCATCCAAAACTTTAATGCAAGTAAATATTTCCAACAGCAAAATGAACAGAAAGACTGAGATTCTTGTTGATAAAACGCATTTCTCCTCTTTCTCAGCTGATTTTGCTGTTGAAATGATCCTCCCCGTTTGTGTCTCTCCCAGCTGTGGTGCGACTTCGACAAGTCCAACACCTTCAGGAACCAGACGTACAACGAGTCTGCCTCCATCCCGGACATCTGCTTCTACCCAGAGGTACCAACGAGACGAGGTGTCGCTTCTGCGGTCCGCTCCGTCTGTTGTGCTTTCTCGCCTCTGCGTCGGCGGACAGCCGCTCGCGTCGCGGGGAGGTCTCGCCTCGGACGCGGCAGCTGATCAGAGCGTCACGTGGAAAACATCCATCATGTTGTTTTGCTCTCACAGTTTGCAGCTGATTGATGGAGCCAATAACGAGGCTCGTTTTTACAGCCGCAGGCTCGGCTGAGTCATGTCGCTGCATGTATACATCATAAATTTATTCCTCCTGAGGCTCCGCAGGTACGACTGCTCTGCAGCCACTCTGGCTCTGCTTTTAGCTGCAGACAAATAAGAAAATGCTGCATATTGGATTTAATATTTCATGAGCAGGCAAAGCAGAAACCTCTCAAATAAAGGGCAGTTTAGTTTTGGTTTATTACGGCTCAGCAGGGGGTGTGCGCTGAGCCCAGAGGAGCTGGGATTCAATCAGGAGCTCATAAAAGTTATTTTAGTTTGTGCCCAAAGTTTACATAATAACAGAAACTGGGAGGTTTAGTTTATATGCAGAAAGTTTAAAATGATCTTCAGTTGAATTTTAGGTTCAGGAAACTGAAGACCTAAAAACAAAAACCTCCAGAGAATCATGTCTGCATTATGAAAGAGTTATAAAAGCTAATTAATTAGACAGATAATCTGATTCTGTATTGTTGTTTTGATCCTAGTGGCTGTTTGTGGTATTACAGCATAACTGAGAAACTGGAACCTAATTAACTATTAAATTAATTCTTTTTAAATGATTTAATTTAAGGTGAGAATTTTACAAATTTCTAGATAGTTTTATTTCCTTATTATTAATTAGTACGTAAATAAATCTGATAATTATTGGTGACTTTGGAGGGTTTAATTTAATTTCTGGTCGTTATTTAGATAGTAATCAGTTTATTCTCTGATTCATGTGAAGCCAGCTGCTGTTGGTTCATATTCACATTTGATTAAGTATGAAGTGACCATTAGATGATGATCTTTCACTAATATTCAGATGAATCTCATGCAGTGTGACTCTCTGCATCCTGGCTCAGATGTTTTCGCCCCCTGCTGTTCGCCTGCTGTTCGCCTGCTGGGATCATGCAGGTGCATCTGAACGCTGGTTTGTTTCCTCGCAGTACTTCGTGTTCACGGGCGTCCTGGCCATGGTCACCTGCGCCGTGTTCCTGCGGCTCAACTCGGTGCTGAAGCTGGCCGTGCTGCTGCTGATGATCGCCATCTACTCCCTGCTGACCGAAGCCTTCTACACCTCGCTGTTTGTGCGCTACGACACCGTGCACCACAACACGGAGTGAGTCGTCTGCGCAGCTGGAGCCCCGACCGGACCGCCTGTCATGGCGGCCGTGTTGGACACCTCGCCTGCTTTGCTTTCTGAATGTCCACTTTGTCACACGTCTGCAAATGAACAAAATATGAATCTCAGGGTTTGTTTTTGATAATATTGGTATTTACTGTCAGAAGATTATAGCAGAAAAGTAAAAACACCAGCAGTTGAAGTGAAGTTTCCAGGCTGAACTCGGCGTTGACAGGATTAAATCCCTGACATTATTTCAAACAGAGGCAGCAGGATTAATGTTAAATCTTTACATTTCTGATATTTAAAGGTTTATTTGTAGTATTAGGTAGAGAACAGTTTCCTCATCAGTCAGGATCATTTCACATCCTTCAGGGTGAAAAACGTCTGCAGGCAGAAACATGAAGACGGTTCTGCAGAAATGTTTTCATATCTGAATCCAAAGCACAAAGGAGGATTTATGGACTTCATCTGAATGATTCCTTCTCTTACCTGGTTTCCTTCCAGAGGAACGTTCTGCTCTCCTCCAGATTCACTTATTTTGTTTTTGCAGATGTTTTTGTGTGACGGTTGAAGCGTGACCTTCTGCACTGAATCAAACCTCAGCATGAAAACTCAAGTCTCAGCGTCTCAGACCTGATTCCTGTTTCTAGCAGTAAAAACACTAAAAACGTTTTATTATTTTGAAGTTTGCGTTTCTACGTTTGAGCTGATAATCCTCAGATGGAAACAAACATTCGCCTCAAGTTTTTTACAAGATTTGATTCCTACTTTTACATTTGCTGCAGTTTTACATAAAGTGAGACGTTTCTCTACCAAAGTTTGACTTGATGGGATTTTGTTGCATGACTTTAATCTTTCAGTCGACTAAAGTGCAACATCTTATTTTGTCTTCCTTCAGAAACTTCCTGGGAACCAAAGAGACGTCTCTGCTGCTGATGGGCCATGTTCCTCCTCGCCGTGTTTTACCACGGTCAGCAGGTAAAACCGGATCCTCTCCAAACACAGACTCCTCTCTCTTTAACGGTCAGATTTCAGCCTCATGTATTTCAGTTCAATAAGTTCAGGTTTCTTCCTGAGGAAGCCCGTCCTTCCTTACATGCATGCAGCGACAGTGGAGAGAAAAACCTCCAGCAGAACATCCCAGCTGATGGCGTCCTCCAGGACGGAGCCTCAGCCAATCAGAACGCCAGAAAACGGAACGTTAGCGGTTTAACAAAACCAATAATGTAAATCGGAGAGCAGTAGGAGAAGAAAGAGCCGACCGACGGGAGCAGAACCACAGGATCCGATCTGCGCCATCGCCATGGAAACAAAGACTCACTTCATTTGTCATCCAGAGAAATTTAGCACAAAATGAAACATGAAGTGACGCTGAAGCAGTTAGAGATTGGTTCCCTCAGCAGGGGGCCCAAAGAGGAGATTACACTTATCAAGCTACGCTTCAATGGATCCATCGGTTCTGCTCCTCATTGGATCGGGTTCCTGCCGGTTCTGACTGCCGGTTCTGAACTCTGGTTCTGAACTCTGGTTCTGAACTCTGGTTCTGAACTCTGGTTCTGACTGCTGGTTCTGAACTCTGGTTCTGACTGCCGGTTCTGAACTCTGGTCCGGCTTCCAGGTGCTGCAGCCGCAGAGCAAATTAAAGCCAGTCGATTCATTTCAGACAAACATCTCCTGCTGTGCTGCAGCTAATTGGAAAGAGAAAAAAAGCTTCACCACAAATGAGCTGATCTACTCGACCATTAAATTAAAAAGCATAAAGTAATCTAACATAGTTTTTCACAATTAAAAGTTTGGATCAGCGTTTTATTCCTCTGAGCTCCTGCATGTTCAGCTGCACAGATCTGCAACTTATTACATAATCACAGTTTATTAGACGATAATAATCAATTCAGTCCAGAAAGAGAAACTGATCAGATGAATAAATCCATTCATCAATGATTTCGGCCAATAAAACACAGATATTTATTTGATCTGCTATATAATTACTTAAGACACAGAAATGTAAACATTTTGTGCCGTTAGACGTTGATGTCATTCAGATTCATTTGGTTTTAAATGCTGCAGTTTGTAATTGATCTGTTCCCTCCGTCCGAAGTACCAAGTACTCTGATTACAAATAGCAGGGAGGGATTACTTCCCTGCAAAGTTCCCGCTAAACGCTTGAACCGACGTTCAGGCAGAGAAAACGTTGATTTTTGGTTTCTGCTGTTGGATTATCTGGATCTCCTCTGATATTGATCGTTATTGGTTGTCATCATGTTACCTGACAGGTGATAACGAGCAGCGTTTGTCTGATGTTGAGTTCTGCTCCAGTTTTTGGGTTTTCCGCTGGCCTCTGGTTCTGCTGATGTTCCTCAGATTGTGGGACTGAAACTGTTTCCCTGAGCAGCAGTCTCTCTGAATCTTTCTGGATATTATTTTATCTTCACGCCGTAAACAGGAGCAGAACCAGCCGGCCCGTTTCAGGGGCCTGACGCGCCGCAGCGTCCATCCTGCCGTCTGGAGTCCGGCTCCGCCGCCGCCCGCCGCTTTCATGCTCTCGCTATGGCAAACTGGCAATCACAGTTTTACAGCCAGAAATTCAATTAAATCCATTCAGACTGAGAAAAATGTCAGTTTAGTTGAATTTACAACGAACTAAACATTTGACTGGAATTAAATCTGGTTGGATTTAATCTGAGTTAGACTTTCAGCCAATCAGAAGAGAATTTAAAGCCATTTCTAATAAGTAAATCAGTAATAATGGATCTTATTCTGCAGGAAGAAAGGATTTTCTCTAAAACGAGCCTCTTTTATGACTCCATTTGTATTTGATGACACGTACAGCCAGTTTCACTGAGTACATTTTATTGAGTTTAAATTAAAAGCAGCTCTGAGGTGGTTGCTGCTCTGTAATTAGTCTGATGACTGTTAGTGGAAACGCGTGGTTCTGATTGTGGAAAACGTGCGTGAAGCTGCGGCGCCTCTCAGGGCCTCGTTGAAGCGACTCTCCAGTGATTCTGTTTGTGAGGAGATCAGGAGCCAATTAAAGCCTTTTCCTCCACAACCTGCTTCTCTCAGACTCTTAACTCTGATTTGCTCCTTGAGAAATGCCGGGCTTGCTGGCAATGTCTTGAGAATGGCTGTTTGCTGATGCTACTGTTCATAAATTGATCCTCTTTCTGATGCAGGCAAACAAATGTTAGAAAGATCTGAGATCTTCTAAATGTTTCACTGCGTTCTCCAGGTAACTTTCAGGCCAATAAAGAGCCAATCAGCTGATTTACTCCCATTTTCATACATTTCTGATTCAAAGCGTCGTCTCAAACGTTCTGCTCTTGGCTCCGTGTTTTAACTGGCAGTAAAGATTTTCTCCTGTTCGCTGTTGTTCCTTCATCTGAATGGATGGAGACGTTAGTCAGACGCTGATCGTCTCTGGAGCAGCAGATGGTCGGTCCAGATGGGAGTGGGTTCTGCTGACACATCCATCACACTCATTTACTCAAGACGTGTTTATTTGTAACTTCAATAAACACTGGGTAACAAATCCAGACTTCTTTCTCTCTGATTATCGTTCAGCTCATCAACAGAACAAGAGTTTAGAAATCAAGCGGCCATTTTGGGAAAAGACTTTCCTGCTGATGTGAGTTGAGACGGCCATGAAGCCCGAGCTTCATTATTTACAAATAATAATGACTTTAACCTGTTAAAACAGAAAAGAGTCATTTTTTACCTACTTTATGTTCGCTTGTTTCTCTCGGCCCAAAGAGTTTAGTTTCTGTTTCTGCTGATCTGATTGGACGCTGTAAAAAGCTAATGTTGTGTTCAAGTTGTGCTAACAGGAGCTAGCCTGTCAGTGAAGCTATGCTAGCCCATAGTAGCGTCTCGATGCTAAACATGTAGCATTAGCGCAAACGTCCACTAACCTGAACAACTGATCAAAATCAATCAATATCTTTATTGAGCTCAAATATCTATTCAATAATTTATAGCAAAACTTGTTTTTGAATCGAAACTGTTGTTTATTTTGTTGTTATAGTTTATGGTTGAATTGATACATTTCTGGACTTCCTGTGCGGTTTGTGTCTCATGCTGGACGTTAATTGGACAGAAAACTGGATGAAGTTTCTCTCCTGATGAGGCGACTAATCGATTCCCTGATCAATCGGAAGAAGATCAGAAATCCTTCCAGGCTCATCGTCCTGCCCTAGAAATCATTTTTCAGCTTCCTCCCTTCTGCAGGCGCTCGCCACTTGTTTGGCTCTAATTTATTCATGTGACTTTGTATTAATCGTTAATTCAAAAAAGCTAATTGAGTTGCCTCTTAAAATACTTGAGCTGCTCAGCAGATTGATGGAATAGTCCTGCACTGCAGAGGTGATTAAATATTTTAATTTGCCTGCCTGTGAATTCAATCATCTCATTTATGTAACACTTTGCCCTGAACTTCACTTCTAATCTGCTTTTTATGGAACAAGTTGCTGGGCCGAGGCGTCAGGAAGCTCCGGCTTTATTCTCTAAACTTCAGCAGCTGGACGTTTATTTTTAACGGCCTGTAAAACATCTGCTCACCGAAAAGCAGAAATCACTTTATTATTGTGACATGAGCCTCTCAGGAAGATTCTTACTAATGAAAAGTTTTTGACTTGGATGAGAAAACAGCTGAAATATTCGACCTTGACGTGCAGAAAGCAAAGTTTCCTCAGTCGGCCTGAGATGAGATAAAATACAATTTAATGCTTCTAACTTTAAATAAGTCATTATTTCAACTGGATAAAATGAATGAAATATAAAAATGCTGTGTTTTTAAAACGTGAGGACAGTTTTCAGTTCAGTTTTAATTACAATAAAAAGTTAAAACACCTCAAATAAAGATTAAGAACTTAAATTATTTTTGTCTCTTGTTAAATCAACTGGATAAAATTTGATTTCTGACTATAAACTGAGATAATTACCTAGTAGACTTAAGTTAAGCCAGGCTCTGTTTTACAGTGTAACGCTGGAGCCAAAGCGAAACCAGGAGCTTTTATTACATTTTTTTATTTATTCAGATTATTAATAATTACTGATTTTTTTCTACAAACTGTTTTCTGCTTATTGTCACTGTTTCTTTTCCAAATGTTCAGATTAACCTGCAGTTTATAAAAATTCGTTTGCAGTAGTAACAACAGTTTTCCCTGCAGCCCGGTTGGTTTGCCACGGTGAGGTTTTGCTGCGGATCGGACCTGCGGCGCTCCGGCCGGACCTGCGGCGCTCCGGCCGGACCTGCGGCGCTCCAGGTCTGCGGGTTTGCTGACTGGGTCTGTGCTTTCAGCTGGAGTACACGGCCCGGCTGGACTTCCTGTGGCGCGTTCAGGCCAAGGAGGAGATCAACGAGATGAAGGAGCTGCGGGAACACAACGAGAACATGCTGAGGAACATCCTGCCCAGCCACGTGGCCCGACACTTCCTGGAGAAGGACCGCGACAACGAGGTCCAACTTTATTTATCATAACCATGATGACAGCAGCACAGTTTGGTCTGAAGAGCTCCGCTTTGCTCTCTTAAATCTCCAGTTATTATTTCATTATCTGGAAGTTTCCCAGCAGCATCTGAATCAGCTGGAGCCTGGGCTTTGACTAGGCCGTTCCAGCCTGCTCATTCTCCTGTAGATCTGGTTTGGTGTGAGGCGTTTGGTTCCGTCTGGATGAAACGTTTGAGCTTCGTTTCAGAGACGAAGCCGTCAGGCGGGACTTTGGTTTGTAATCGTCTGCAGATTAAATCGGACCTCCAGGTTTCATTTGTTGATAAAAGTTTCTGGTTATTTCCTGTTGAGATGATTTTCAGTTTCTTCCCAGATTGATGAGCAGAAACTGTTGGTTCTCTGACGTCATAAACCTTCAGAGCTGATGATCAGGAAATCAATCGGATTGATCGTTAATCGGGGAGTTTCCTGTCCGTTCCTCTGGCAGCAGCAGGTTGAACCCGGTTCATCCAACCAGCCTTTAACTAGGACCTTATCGGGGCCTCTACCTGGAGCTGAAATGCATCACTTTTATCTCTAAAGTTGGAATAAACAGCAGAGCGTAGAAACAACCCTGTAAATATTTGGAGTCTGGTTTTCCTCCTCTGACGCTTCCCACCAAATATGCGAAGCCCAGACAGTTAAAGAGGCTTCAGCGGCAGGAATGAACCCCGACTGAACCGCAAAACGCTGCCTGACGTTCTGCAGCATCGCAGCAGAACACCAAGAAATTCAATTAGTTCAACTTTAACCAAGTTTCCCTTTTGAAGTTTGGCCGTTTGGCTGAGCTCATTAGCCGAGCATAAAGCCGCTGAGGAAGCCCCATTCAGGTCAGAGGCCCATTTTCACAACCGTGTAATTACATTAAGAATGGGAGCAGCCTGCGGACAGACGCAGCTTCTCCTGAATTATTAACTTCAAAAGCTGAACTGTGGCTGGACGTTAATGTTTATCACCCTATTATTACAATGCTACCATAATGGCATGATGAATTACTGAATGTGGCATTTGGGATGTGAAGATGCTGCTTCATGTCTGCAGACCTGCTGTACGAGCTAACACTGCCCCCTAGTGGCCGATAGGCTGCACTGCACTGTGTCGTTTATTCATCAGTGATTTTGAGGAGGATGCTCTGCTTGATCAGAGTAAATTATTTCATTCATGTGAGGATATAATGAAGCTCATCTGGTTTTTACTGGGTTTTAAAGTGATTTGCATCTCATTATAAATGTGCAACAGATCCACCCTGTCATGATGTCTTGAGTTCAAATGAAAACAAAATGTGTGACCATTGCTTTCATTATGAATCACAAAGCGTGTCGAACAGCCGGGTGAAAACCTATCAGCAGTGATTGTTGCTGCCCGTCAACCTGGGAAGGTTTTCCGAAATGAACCTGGAAGGAGGGATTATTCACTGCTGGAAAAAGATTTAGAAGCTGCTCATGTTCCCAGATTTGCATCCTTAAGGTTAAAACAGGACGATTTGGAAAGGAGTGAACATGTTTGGATTATCTGAGCACAGTGGATTTCTGGAGCATGAAGTCGTCCTTCTGTCATTCTGGACACCAGTTTGGAGCAAAGGTCAAGCTGTGCCTTGACCTCACAGTAGTCCAAACATTTCTGCATAGCTTCATGCTAAACTCCTCATGTTCTGGGCGACAGGATGTCAGCCTGTTGAAGTTTGCAAAAGTTTTTATTCTTGAGGCGTTTTGTGGTTTTCTGAAAAACAGGTTGACTGGTGCCTTACCAGAGGCATCAACTCCAAACTCTGAGTCTGGAGAGTAAATGTCTGAGCCGTGTGTAGCGTCACCATGAGGTGAATTCATGCTCTGTGTTTCTGCTTGGTTCATTTTTGTGGCATTTTAAGGTGATAACGACATGATGAGGCTGTGTGAGTCTAAACGCATCTGAGACCTTAAGAAAACTTTCATGCGTTGCTTAAATTTATTTCTCTGTTCTCCTCCGTCTCCCTTTGGCAGCAGTTCTGCTGTGGTTCTGTTGTGGTTCTGTTGGGCCGTACCGGGTTTGTCAACCTGGGTTTGACGTGGCGTTGTAACGTCCCGGTCGTGTCGATGTCTCCTCAGGAGCTGTACTCCCAGTCCTACGACTCGGTGGGCGTGATGTTCGCCTCCATCCCCGGCTTCGCCGACTTTTACTCCCAGACTGAGATGAACAACCAGGGAGTCGAGTGTCTGCGGCTGCTCAACGAAATCATCGCCGACTTCGACGAGGTGAAGTTCAAACCGTCTGTTCGGCTGAATGGAAGACGTAAACACCATTCAGGACAAAACATGCATTTTAGAAAATACTTGAGAAGCCATTAATGTCTCTGCAGAAATGACTGATTCTGCTGGCAGGTCATCAAAAACCAATTATTGCAGGTGGCAAAGAACCACAGGGTTTGTAGCAGCACTGCTTCCTGTTCAACATCCTCTGAAGACACAAAACTTCAGCAAAAATCTCAAAACAAGTTTCAGATGTTTAGCCTTTCTGTCCTGATCGGTTTGAATTTAAACGTTTCCTCATCAGCAGGTGGTCCAGTGTCCGTCTCCGTTGGACATTTGTCTCGGTTCAGGCAGCAGTTTGTCTCTGAGGTGCTCAGAGGAGCCCGGTCCTCAGTCACGTGTGATTTTGTGCTTCAGGTTGTTGAAAAGCTCAGTGAACGTTGTTTCTGTTGCAGCTGCTCGGTGAAGACCGTTTCCAGGACATCGAGAAGATCAAGACGATCGGCAGCACCTACATGGCCGTCTCTGGTCTGTCGCCCGAGAAACAGGTGAAGATCCACAGCAAGCAGCAAAACTGCTGCAAAACTGCTGCAAAAATGCTGCAAAAATGCTTCAACGACTCCCAGAGCGCCGCCGTTATTTCTGCTCATTCTGGTTTAAACATGTTTTAATCCAGTAAAGTTTCTCCAGCATATTTTCTATTTCAGAAACTTCTATTCCTTTAAGTAAACAGGAAGTCTGATGTGAAAGATCCTCTTCTGCAGGATTTGAATGTTTTGGAACCAGCTGCAGTTTTCTTGCTGTTGCTGTAACTTCTGGCTTCACATCTTCAGAAATTCAGTTAAAAATCTGAATTACTGAGTTTTTCCCCAGAACATACAAGAACATTCATTTATATCTGTTTTATTATGTAACTGATCACCATTTCTGACAAAAAGTCAAAATCCCACAAACAAGATTTCAGTCCAACTATAATCACCTTGCTGGGTTTGCTGCAGATTATGGGAAAAACATGCTATAAACTTTAGAATAGAATTCAGCTTTATTGTCACTGCACTGTCACCTGTACAAAGCAACGAAATGCAGTGAAACTTATGAAGGTTTTTCAGTCAGTGAAGAAAACATGTAAAAACATCAGTTCAAGTGAAGAGCCCTGAGGTTCTCCTGGCTCTTTATCGCTAAATTTAAGGTGGTTCTGACGTTCAAACTTTAAATTCCTCCTTTGGTTCTTCACTGGCCCGGTTCCTCCCTGGCCCGGTTCTTTACTGGCCCGGTTCTTTACTGGCCCGGTTCTTTACTGGCCCGGTTCTTTTACTGGCCCGGTTCTCTACTGGCCCGGTTCTTTACTGGCCCGGTTCTTTACTGGCCCGGTTCTACTGGCCCGGTTCTCTACTGGCCCGGTTCTCTACTGGCCCGGTTCTTTACTGGCCCGGTTCGTCCGTCAGGCCGATCCGATCAGCTTCCAGGTTCTTCAGGCTGTTTCCTCTGATCCACAGCAATGTGAAGATAAATGGGGTCACCTTTGCGCCCTGGCCGACTTCGCCATCGCCCTGAACGAGAGCATCCAGGAGATCAATAAACATTCCTTCAACAACTTCGAGCTGCGGATCGGTGAGACTTCAGTTCTGCTGAGAAAAGTTATTTTGCTTTTTCAGTGATTTAACGAAGGAATCCTTCTGTTTTCAGTAGAAATGATTTAATGCCAGAAGAGGGAAAATGATAAACTTCCAGACTCAGAAATCCAAAGATTTTCACTGGAAACCAGAATGAACTTTTCTGTTTATGACAAATTATTACCTGAAAATTCTCCTTGTTGGATTCAATCTACATGTTGAACTTCTATGCTTTTTATGGGAAACGCTGATAATTACCATCCATAACCTAATCATGGGGGGAAGTTATGGATTAATGAGTTACTCTAACGTTGATTGATCTCATTGATTGGCTATAGATTAATTAAAACGAGGCCTTTTTTAAAAATCTGAGTTTTCTTTTATATGAAAAGGAGCATCTTTCCATAACATAAAGGGGTATATTATTCATAATATAGTGAATTAAAAAGTTAACATCTTTGTTTGTTGGCTGTTTTAAATACTGACTGAATAATGATGTCAGTTTCTCACATTGTTGAACTTTTGCTGGAGGATTTGACATTTTCTGTCCTGCAGCTGAATGAAAGTTTACAGTGAAGATAAGAATCTTGTTGAGTTTTTTATATTTCAAATCAGAACTACATAAAATGCATTTAGCCTCTCACACCGGCCTTTGTTTGGACCGTTTATCGGGTTCTTTCTGGGAAATCTCCGCCATCTTTGTCTCTGGGTCGCTTAAGGTTGACCAGCGGCGCCTTCTGCTGGATGGCGGACAAACTACAACTCTAAATCAGACAATATTAGTTAATCGATTGAAACTAATTTTAATCTAATAAACCGCTAAACGACGATTGAGTTGATTAATTATTTGCATCATCATATTTGGATTTAAGGTAAATTAAAGGAATTTGTTCAACAGTTTCATGTTTGCAGCATTTGTGTTGAGTGCAAAGTAAACCTTAAGAAAACTGGAAAATCTTCCTTTAAAGTTTAAAGTAATTGACTGTTTGCTGTAATAACCTGTCAATGTTCTTCCATGGTGTTTCATCCAACTGAAGGAATGAAACTTGTTGTTTTAAATGCTGGTCTATTTAAAGCACTGAGTTGTTTCTCTCCAGGAATGGCTCACGGCTCGGTGGTGGCCGGCGTGATCGGCGCCAAGAAGCCGCAGTACGACATCTGGGGGAAGACGGTGAACCTGGCCAGCCGCATGGACAGCACCGGCGTGAGCGGCAAGATCCAGGTTCCCGAGGAAACCTTCCTCATCCTGAAGGAGCGAGGCTTCGCCTTCGAGTACCGCGGCGAGATCTACGTCAAGGGCATCAGCGAGCAGGAGGGCAAAATCCGAACTCACTTCCTGCTGGGCCGGGTGCAGCCCAACCCGCTCATCCTGCAGCCGCGCAAAATCACGGGCCAGTACTCTCTGGCGGCCGTGGTGCTGGGCCTGGTGCAGTCGCTCAACCGGCAGAAGCAGAAGCAGATTCTCAACGAGAACAACAACTCGGGCATCATGAAGGGCCACCACCACTACAACCGCAGGACGTTGTTGGCGGCCGGCGGCGCCGAGGTGGGCGGCGGCCATCACGCCGAAGCGCCGGATAAGACGGATCTGTCCTGAGGCGCCCGGCAGAGTTTGGGCTCCGCGCTGATTCCTTACAGGCAGAACTGCTCCGAAGGCCCAGATCCCGTCTGTGGCTGCGTTAAATCCTGGTGGGTGAAGCGTCCGATCATCGGCCTGAAACCGACCCATATCTGGAAACAAGGAGGCAAATATTGTTAAACTTTGGCTGATTTCTCAGAGTCATGGGGAGAAACGAAAGTTTCCATCAGAGTTGAATGATCAGGGAGAGCTGATCACATCCTGATCATGTCCATTGAGTGAGCAGAAACGCATCTAGACGAACAACAACTGGCAGTTTGTTGATCTGCAGCTGTGAGCTGATGTTATGCTGACCGACGGTCTGGGGAGTGTCATGAGGCAGAGCCGTTAGACGGCCTCCTTCAAAAACTGACAGTAAAATATCTTCTGTGAAACAGGTTTACAGTCCATCCAGCAACAGACAACCTGCAGACGGGAAACAGGTCAGAGGAAACAAACATGGCCGACCAGAAACAGCGGCGATAGATTATGGATTATGTTGATTAGAGAATAAACCAGCGGACTGCATCGTGTCAGCAGGCTGTGACCTGGTTTGACCTCTGGGATCGCCACACGCTGACCATCCAACATGCTGAATATCAACCATTTCCGATCAGAGCAGGATCGATGCGCCGTAACGGCCTAGTCAATGTCCACAACCTTTCAAAACAAATGTGAGCTGCAACTTGAAGTCGTTGCTGCTGAAATCGGTTCTGTCAACTGAATCAGAGACTTTATTTCTCCTCATGACTTTATTTCATGTTTTCAGTTGAAAATGAATGTAAATCATTTTTAGTTTTGGTTTATTAAAGTATTTCTGATGAAAAACGCCGTTTGGACATCCAGAGACTTTTACTTTGAAGTTTTCATCATGAATGTCTAAAACTGAACATTCCTCCTGTGTTCACTACAAGCTCCGCCCACTTCGGTTTAATCCAGCCAATGAGGTTTGATCTTCGTCCTGAGCAGCTCTGCTTTCTGAGAATGTTTGTAGAACTGAAACTCAACTGTAGAGACGGGTGGGTTACTGGGAGGACTGGGAGCACTGGGAGCACTGGGAGCCCTGGGAGCACTGGGAGCCCTGGGAGCACTGGGAGCACTGGGAGCACTGGGAGCACTGGGAGCACTGGGAGCACTGGGAGCACTGGGAGCACTGGGAGCACTGGGAGGACTGGGAGGACTGGGAGCACTGGGAGGACTGGGAGCACTGGGAGCACAGGGAGGACTGGGAGCACTGGGAGGACTGGGAGCACTGGGAGGACTGGGAGGACTGGGAGCACTGGGAGCACTGGGAGCACTGGGAGCACTGGGAGCACTGGGAGCACTGGGAGCACTGGGAGCACTGGGAGCACTGGGAGCACTGGGAGCACTGGGAGCACTGGGAGCACTGGGAGCACTGGGAGCACTGGGAGCACTGGGAGGACTGGGAGCACTGGGAGGACTGGGAGGACTAGGAGCACTGGGAGGACTGGGAGGACTGGGAGCACTGGGAGGACTGGGAGGACTGGGAGCACTGGGAGGACTGGGAGCACTGGGAGGACTGGGAGGACTGGGAGCACTGGGAGCACTGGGAGCACTGGGAGCACTGGGAGGACTGGGAGCACTGGGAGGACTGGGAGCACTGGGAGGACTGGGAGCACTGGGAGCACTGGGAGCACTGGGAGCACTGGGAGCACTGGGAGCACTGGGAGCACTGGGAGCACTGGGAGCACTGGGAGCACTGGGAGCACTGGGAGCACTGGGAGCACTGGGAGCACTGGGAGGACTGGGAGCACTGGGAGCACTGGGAGGACTGGGAGCACTGGGAGGACTGGGAGGACTGGGAGCACTGGGAGGACTGGGAGGACTGGGAGCACTGGGAGGACTGGGAGGACTGGGAGCACTGGGAGGACTGGGAGCACTGGGAGGACTGGGAGGACTGGGAGCACTGGGAGCACTGGGAGCCCTGGGAGCACTGGGAGGACTGGGAGCACTGGGAGGACTGGGAGCACTGGGAGCACTGGGAGCACTGGGAGGACTGGGAGCACTGGGAGGACTGGGAGCACTGGGAGGACTGGGAGGACTGGGAGGACTGGGCGTCGCGCTCCGTCTTCCAGACTGATTATCCGGGACTTTTCCCAACGTTCCTGCTGTCTGTTCCCATTTTTATCTCACCTGCGTTGGACCCGTTCACACCTGACCCCTGCCCTTTGACCTTTACCCGGTGTCGATGTTTCTTTTTTGTATTTCTTTTATATATGGATCACAATAAAAAGGGGTTTAATTTTTTATAGAAGCAACTCGTCTGCTTGTTTTGATTCTTCAGTTCTTTCATTCAAACTGTAGAAAAATAAACTTTGATTAATCTGAAGGAAATAAGGAGAGAAAACAAAAAGTTCCAAACTTTATTTATTTTACAAAAATAAAGGTTTTACAAGCAACAACGTATTAAAGTCTACCGTCATTAGAATGCTTTAGTTATGATTTTGGTTTTAACACGTCCAGCAGTTTAAAACAAATTGTGTTGATGTCAGTATGTCGCCTGTTTCTCCACATAAAACTTTTATTTTAGGAAAGATTTAGTTTTTAAAGTTAGAACTTTAATGTTTTAACATTTTTAACTTTAAAGGTGATTCTGTCCAGGTTTGAATTTCTGCACTGAAGAAAATCACCGAGTTCAGAAACATTTCAGCAGCTTCATAAAAAACTCACTGCTAAAACTTTTTAAGGTAACTAAATCAGATGCAGCCTGTAGTTTGCACATCCAGCCACCAGGTGGCAGCAGACGTCCGGCCAGGCCAACGCATCGCCTGGAAAAGCTTCATGTTGCTGAAGAGTCTGAGGCTCGAAGCTTTTATTTCACCGCGTTTACACAAATAACAATAACGTAAAGACAGATAGAAAGTGATTTTATTTTATCATTTGTTTTTCTAATCAATAGTTTCTACTTCCTTTTCCTGAGCCTGATGCTCCAACAGAAACATCAGTGACGAGTAAATCAGGAAATCAAAGCAGCAGAGACAAACACAAAGCCGGCTCTTCCAGGAGGAATCGATTCCTCCTCTTTCCTCCCTCTGCATGGATTTTCTGTTAGACAAGCAGGAGGAGGAGGAGGAAGAGGAGGAGGAGGAGGAAGAGGAAGAGGAGGAGGAGGAAGAGGAGGAGGAGGAGGAGGAAACAGCAGGAAAGGCAGATGTGGAGGATGGGGTTGCCATGGCGACGCCGGCCTGTTGAGCCTCCAGTGTTTGTGTCTTTACTACTGGCTGCTGGGATGGAGACAAACGGTGTCGGATCTGTGCAGCAGCACCAGAACCTGACGCCGAGCGACACCAACGACCGATCCGGGATGGATCTGGAATGGATCCGGGATGGATCTGGGATGGATCCGGGATGGATCCGGGATGGATCTGGAATGGATCTGGGATGGATCCGGGATGAATATGGGATGGATCTGGGATGGATCTGGGATGGATCCGGGATGGATCTGGATGGATCCGGGATGAATATGGGATGGATCTGGGATGGATCCGGGATGAATATGGGATGGATCTGGGATGGATCTGGAATGGATCCGGGATGGATCCGGGATGGATCCGGGATGGATCTGGAATGGATCTGGGATGGATCCGGGATGAATATGGGATGGATCCGGGATGGATCCGGGATGGATCTGGGATGGATCTGGGATGGATCTGGGATGGATCTGGAATGGATCCGGGATGGATCCGGCAGGGATCCGGGATGGATCTGGGATGGATCCGGATGGATCTGGGATGGATCCGGGATGGATCTGGGATGGATCGGGATGGATCCGGGATGGATCCGGGATGGATCCGGGATGGATCTGGAATGGATCTGGGATGGATCCGGGATGAATATGGGATGGATCCGGGATGGATCTGGGATGGATCTGGAATGGATCCGGGATGGATCTGGGATGGATCCGGGATGGATCCGGGATGGATCCGGCAGGGATCCGGGATGGATCTGGGATGGATCCGGGATGGATCCGGCAGGGATCCGGGAGGGATCCGGGATGGATCCGGGATGGATCCGGCAGGGATCCGGGATGGATCCGGGATGGATCCGGGATGGATCTGGGATGGATCTGGGATGGATCTGGGATCTGTCCAGAGCATCATTACAATGTGAAGGAACACAAAGACACTGAATGCAGCTGGAAAATGCATGAAGATAAACTATTATGATGAGAAAAATCTAAAATAGGTGATAAAGTGAACATGGAATGATGTTGGATAAACTATTTCAGTCTTGAAGCATCAGTTGAGCTTTAACAAGCGGCTGACTCTCATCTTGGAGGAACAGAAATGTTTTGTCCTCTCTGCAGCCTGAAGTTCCCACAGTCAGTGGAAAATGGCAGCAGTAAATCCTGCCAGCCGTTGTTCTCTGTTTGACAGATGACCTCCTGCTGGCTGCTGCTCTCCTCAGCCGTCCTCCGATCAGCGGAGCTGCAGGTTCCTGGAGCAGAGCAGATCTCGCTGTGTGGCTTCATTTACTTTACAAATCAAACTTTAAATCTGGGAATAACTGCAAACCAAAAGAACAAAAACAAAAGCCCTTGGTGCAAATGGAGCAGCCATTATATTTCCCGTCAGGATCCCATCTGTCTTTCACACAACAGATTTTTTATGAGCTGTTTTCAGTTTGGTTTCCCAGATCTTCTTCATCTGAGATGAAGTGAGATCCACAGATTTCACTGAGCAGGAAATCAGTGACAGGATGGAGTCAGTGAAGAAAGACTGAATTTTACCCATTTCTAAAGTAGAAAACTCCGATTTTGAGGCACAAATGGATCAAAGCTTCCAAGGACAGATAAACTGTGGGTTAAACACAGATCAACGGTGTTTTCCTTCATTAGTAGAAAACTATAACATGAAGTTACTTATAAATGCTTTAGTAGACTGAAATGATGACATGCTGTAAAGTGTGCTGGTTTTGGTGTCTGAATCTGCCAGCAGGTGTTTTAGGTTGTTTTAGTCCAACCAGCCTGTTCCCCTCCTGGCCTGCGGGGGCGCTGCACCAAGAACCACCGAGGGAAACGACACAAAAACCTCTGAGAGCAACTTCCTTCTTCACCAGACGGAACCAAGATGGAGGCGTCAGATTCTCTTTAGTTTTTGGTGAGAGACCTTCCTCGGCTAACCCGAGACTGGCGCGTTTATTTTGGTTGTATTTACCCAGAATGCCCTGCGCTGTAATCCACTTCCTGCCTCTGGAGCGGTTTTCGGTCCGCCAGAAATGACACAATCTGCGTAGAAAACATGTCCGTTTATTTCTGTATTTACTCGGCTTCCGTAGTTCACACCTTTTAGTTGACTGGAATGTTTTGTAGTAAATAAGAAACGACGTATCTGGGTGGGTTGTATACAGGCTAGCATTAGTGCTATCAGTTACAGGCTAGCATTAGTGCTATCAATTACAGGCTAGCATTAGTGCTATCAGTTACAGGCTAGCATTAGTGCTATCAATTACAGGCTAGCATTAGTGCTATCAATTACAGGCTAGCATTAGTGCTATCAATTACAGGCTAGCATTAGTGCTATCAGTTCAGCAAACCTGTGTTTCATCAAGATGTACCTTGATGAAAAGTGGCCCAAAAAAAATTCAAGATTTAATCTCAGATTTTTTCGTTTAACATCAGCTGCCTGCCTCATTGAAGTCGAGCTGAACATTTTCCCTCCATTACCTGAGCAGGTAAAACATCAGCAACGTGATTTTAGCTTTCCTATAAATCCCCCAACATAGTTTAAGTTATGGACTGCAGATTAAATTACAATATGAGAATAAAGATGCAACAAGCTATAAAATATTTTTTCTGTTTGATAAATTACACCAAAGTTCAAATAATGACAAATATTTACTTTCCAGCCACGATTCACAAGTTTCTGGAAGCATCTAGATTAGAAACTAAACATCCTTTTGATGCTTCAGGGATAAAAACATAAACCAAGACAAATTAATGCATTTTTAAACTTTTATTACATATCGCTAAAGAAACAATCTCCACAGACTTTAAATGGAAAAACAGAATTCATAAGGAACCACAAATCTATTTATTGATTAATTTTGCAGGGTTTTGGGTTGAAAATTAAGTCATAAATCTCTGTACCGCCTTAAAAATCTTAACAAATTCAGAATTTTTAATTCC